GTCATATTTTTGTTTAAATTAATATTTTTCATTGGTGTGCAGCTAAGATTGCGTTTAATACCCAACAGACTAAAAACATTATTGTTTTACTTATAAAAAGTTGAACATAACGAATTCTTATATTACAATGTTATTAAAAAAATTGGAAATTCAAAAATTTGATTTAGACTTTTAAATTCAGACTATTTACTTAATTTAATAAAAAAATTGATTGTATTTATGTGAAAAAAATAGGTACAAATAGTTTCAAATCAATCTGACAAAAAATAAAAAATTTGCATTTTTTTGATTTTTTAAAATTTTTTGAAAAAATGTCATAACTTTCGTTCATGTTAATATTTTTTAATCAAATATGGATAAGATTTTAAGTTACGTTAAGACTGAATACACTGCCAAGTTTCACCTCAATCGGTTGAGCCGTTTTAAAGTTGTGCCGGTACAAAATATTGACGACAGACAGACAGACAGATAGACAGACAGACAGACAGACAGAATTTTTATTTATGGCATATTTGTTATCTTTACTACTTAAAATGATAAACTATGCAAGAAAAAATTAATTTGGAGCAATGTACAGACAAAAGTCTGATTTTATTAATATAGATAGATAGATAGTAAATTTACAAAGTCAGAAAATAATTTGATATATATGCTAAAACCTTTCACCTCCAGTAAACGCTTCACTTTTATCCCTCCTCGAAGAATAGTGAAGTCTTGTCAGACTTTGGTGAAATTACATTGAACTCAAAAGAGGGGTTGATGGAAAACTCTCATCATTACTCCAACTTACATTTATATACAAAGAGACTATTGTTCACAAAATTCTAAATCGTGCACAGCATCTTCCGATTAACAACAAGAGAGCTCGAAATAATTCATTTCGAAGGATTTCAGCCTGGAAATAACAATAATAATAATACGCATTGTCTTCGAAAGTACTATGTCACTTGAAAATTTGCGAGTCTATTTAAAAAATTGTCAAAAGTTCGAGAAAGTTTACAAAATCCTTTCTTTTTGGCAGAAAAATAAAATTTTCAAATATCTATAAAATGATATATGAATCCATTGAAAACACTCGGGAAAGACGTATTAATGAAACTTGATTCGAGGGTCTTGCGCATAGCCTATTTAGTAGACTGCGTTCAGCTATGTCAACATTATTACACCACAGATTCCCAGGAGAGTACTGTATACAACACACATGAGAATATAACGAGGGCGAATGGATCACAGAAGTGGTTTTTTAAAATATGAATAAGAGCAGTACATATATATAGTAAAGTAGGTATCTCCCAGGAGGAACGTGCAAACACCAAAAACCACCCCCGCCCCCTTATTTCTGACGTATTCAACAAAAATAGAAAAAGAAGATATTTTCCCAAGCGACAAGTTAAGAATTTCAAATTCAACAAAATTGTTCAAAGAGAACGAATATACGAGAGTTAATTTTCTTGGATCTTGACCTCTCTCTTTCTCCGGCAAAAGAATTACTCTCTATTATGCATGAATCACATTTTGCAATTTAATAATACCAAAAGCCCCTCATCCGCACTTTTATAAACTTGCAGATAAAGAAATTATTGAGCAAACATTTTTTTTAATTAAAAGAAGTACTACTTAGAATATTAAAATGAATTTGTAAAAATTTGATCAATTTTCGTTATTCACAGTGAGAAAAAAGATTTTGGTTGGCGCAACAAAATTTTGGTTGTAAAGACGAAATATTTTTCCTCAATTATTTATTTTCAGATTTGTAAAATCAATCTCTATTATAAACAGTTCTTTATTATTATGAATTAATATCGTTGAAGAACGAATAAATGTGAGTGAAAAAAGTAAGGCTGCAAAGTGATATATTCCAATGGTATATAAATTGGATTTACCCTTGGTTCCAGAGATTTCAAGTGGTATTTGCAGATCTTTCTATACTGTGGATCGTCGCTATTTGAAGGGCTCTACAGAAACTAATTGGCCGGTCAGCCCTTCAATGCGGTATCATTGCAATGTACTTTTTGTACACTGTATATATTAAAATCACAATTTTCTCATTCAACTTCACCGTATGATTTTACAAAATTTTACAATCATTTTCATTCTAAATAATTTATTACTCTCTAAATCGAAATTACAAAATAATTAATTGCAAAGTAAAATTATTCAACTGACTTTATTTTCTCAGATTAGAAAAAAATTATTAGTAAAAACTAATTAATTTTCAGTGGAAAAATAACTGTTTTTTTACCAAAATGAAAATATATATATGACATTTAGATATAAAATAATGTTTTCTATATTTTATACATTATATTTATTCATTGAAGATGATTTTAATAAAGCCATATACAAAATATTGGTCTATAACAATTTAAATCAATTTAACCTTTCTGTAACCTTGTTGTACCACCTGGTAAAAGAGCTTTTATCTTTATATACTCCACTTTACCATCAATTTTCCTCAAAGCTACAGTCGGTATTTGGATAAATTCGAATCTCAAACATTTCCTTATTTCTTCATTCAGTTTAATTGTTTCTTTTTTAATCAAATTTTAAAATATTTAATTTTTCAAATCTTTGAATTTTTTTGGTACTGTTCTATTTTTTTCTACCATTTTATTTTTTGTACTATTTTATCGAATGATAGGAAAAGCTTTTTCATGCCTGTTAAAGCACAATTCAACAGTCGGTAAGAAAGTTCACAAACTTGCGACAGCTTTTATGGATTTCTATAAGGGTAGGTTATTGTTCTACCTTGGACGTGAATTTATATCACACACACTCAAAAGAATCATCGAATTGGAAAATTCTCAAGGCAAAGGTTCAAAAAGAAACTTCTTCAAATGATGACACAATTTTATTAATTATTAATTTTCCGTTACAACTTAATTCAAAAAATTAGTGTAACTAATATATAATAATTAATATAACTAATAAAAAAAAAATTCTTAATCGAAAATAGAGATGTAATTCAAAATCAATTTCTAAATTTTACTAATTTTTAATCAAATATGACTATTTTTAGTAATTCAAAATTTTTTTACTTTAGCTAAAAAAATAGGTAAAAATTAGTAGAAATTTTTATTCATTTAAATTTAGAGAGAATATAAATCATAAAAAACAATCCAATTCATTTTACATTTTGCTTATAGAATTCCCTATAGACATACTTTTCTCTGTATTTTCCATTAAATTTCTCAACAAATCCAATGTGCGGAAAATAAAACAAAACAAAAAATCTACCAATGTAATATGAAAGTACTTGAATGTATTGCGTTGAAAAATAAAGAAAATGAAAATCATATTTTTATATCAGATGTGAATTGCTTTGACATAAGGTAATTTAAGCTTCATTAAAATTTCTTCCAATAAAGTTCAGCACTTAAGAAAACCTTTTTAAAATATCAATTTTCGCAAAGAAAACTGTAAATAAATTTTCCTCTACCTTTTTGTTTATCAATTTTTTACATACAAAAATTTTACTGTAATCCTACGTAAAATGTATGAGCGCGTATATATTTTATATTCAAATCAAGTTCTCTATTGATAAAAGTAATATAAAATGATGTATGAGATATGCATCTTATATATATAAAAGTTTTCCATATTTTTTAGAACTTTTACAATTTTAGTGCATGCCGAAGGCAAAGAAACCCCTTGAAAATAAATTTGAACACGAGGATGCTTTCAACGAAGCATAAAATTGTCAAATGTATATATATGGAATTGATGTTATACACGTGTAATTCACATCGAAAAACTTCATTTCGGTTATATTTTGTTTTATTTTTTTTTGATTATTTTTATATAATATTTGTATATTGTATTCCTCAATTTATTTTTTTTTTATTTTTAAAAATGATAAGCGCAAAAAAATATTTTGGCTATTTTTTTTATAATTTTCAATAAATTTTTATAGTTGTAAATGAATGTGTGTTTTTCAATAAATCATCGCTACGGATATGGTTTAGAGAAGATTTGATACATACAGACAAACCAATCAATTGCAATCACAAATTGCCCATATATATGTTTTTGTGGTCAAATATCACTGACTTAAATTTAGAGAGAAATATCTCTCAACATCTGAATGTCAATAAAACATATAAAATGTAAATCAGAAAGTAATGAATAAATTTTTATTGAACTTTTAAATATATTAGAAAAGAATAAATTTTATTTGATAACAGTTAAAATTTTTGTTTTTGCTTCTCATATATAAAATGATTTTTGTTATTCGAGAAATTAACCCTGGAATTATTGTTGGATGTTCTATGAAGATCTTCTTGGCAAAGTTCTACTAACCCAAAGAGAGTAAATTTTCCTTATTCTATATTTTTATTTCAAATCCAAATTTTCATCAAAATTTTGCAAATTATTTGCGGTATTTGGATAGTTACCAATTTTTCAGGTGAGGTTTGAAAACGCAGGTGGTTTCTGGGTGCATATAGAGGTACATTCGTTTTAGAGACGGATCGATCAGCGCACGACTCCTCCTCTCGACTCTCAACCCGGCATCTGGTTCAATTTTAGACCTCTGTCAAATATCAATATATCTTTACAAATATATTTATTGTCAAGGGTTTTTTTTTCCTGGTTTTTCTAATGCTCCCAAGAAATATGTCTAGTTCACGAACATTAAAGTGCAAATAGAATTATATACTTGACATTCCTGAAAGTAGTGGGATTTTTTGTTTCCTCTTTTTTTTTTTTTTTTGTTTAAAATACTTCAAAGCTACTCTCTCACCAAAGGAAACGACTTTGAGAGGTATAAATTCAATAAAAGTCTTTCTCTTTGAGTACGCGGAAAATTAAAAAATGTTTTTTTCAACAAATTAATATTAATTCACAATTTTTTTTTTTATAATAAATTACTTTCATAAAAACTTTAATTTATTATACTAGATAAATGAAGCACAAGAGTGATTTGTTCTCATAAAAATTTGAAATTATTATCTAATCCTAATCTTCATTCAAAAAATGATATTCAATTATTATATTATCAACATTCAACAAGTATATAAGTGAACTTATCATTAAAGATTTATCGTTATTTTTTGATTACTAAAAGTTTGACGATGATTATCATCATTAGTGTATTTTGCAGTTTTTTCCTCTCAATTTCATGCAATGGTAATTATAATATCAGTAAATTTGCAAAATATTTATAATTATTAAATTATTAAATTAAATAATTATTTAATTATTAATTAAAAAATGTTATAGTTGGGATTTTTAAAAATGATTATTTTATTCCAAAAATAATTAATGGAGAAGATGCCAAATTTGGAGAAATTCCTTATCAGGTAATTTTCGAATAAAACAAAATTTGAATTAATTTCAAACAAATGAAAAAATTACTAAATTTTTAATTAAGGTATCACTTCAAAAAATTGCAAAGAATTTTCATTTTTGCGGAGGATCAATTTTAAGTGAAACTTATGTAATTACAGCGGCACATTGTGTAGTAAGGTAGAGAAAAATTATATACTAATATTGAATTTATTATTTTTAATCCTTTTTGAAAATATATTTTTAATTTCATGAAAAATTCATTACATTTTTTTTTCTTGTATTGGATCGAACAATTTTGATGTTTTTAAATAGATCTTCAACTTTACAGTAAAAATGCATCTGATATACAAGTGATAGCTGGTACTTTAAAATTAAGTGAGCCAAAATCAATTCATCATGTTGATGAAATAATTGTACATAAATTTTACAACAGAAAGGATTCATGGAAAAATGATATTGCTTTACTGAAAGTAAGTTATTATTTACGTACTTTACGTTATTTCAATACTTTTAATACTAGTATTAAAAGAGAAGATAAAATAATATTTAAAATTTATTTTATTTAGATACAAGATCACTTTATTCTGAGCGATGTAATACAAATAATTCCTCTTCCTGAATCTAAAATGATCATTGAGGCAAATCAAAAGGCAGTAGTTTCTGGTTGGGGTAGACTTAAAGTTTGTATTTTAATTTCTTTCTATGAAATTTATTTTGTTTTTAAACTTTTTTTTTTACTTACGATTATTTTGTAAATTAATTATAATAACTTTTTTTTATGTATTATTAAAATTATTTTACTTTTACAGTACCTTGGGCCTAAACCTGATCATTTACAACGTGCTGAAATTCTCACAGCTGATCAAAATTATTGCAGAAAAGTTTATAGAAAGCATGGTTATTCTATTCATGATTCTCAAATTTGTGCCTATGATCCAAACATTAAGAGAGGATCTTGTAAGGTATTTTGACAAATTTTTAATATGAAAAATTAAAGTGAAAAGTTATTTTTTTTACGTATTATCACGTCACGGGGAGGATATATAATATTTTTTATTTACAGGGTGATTCTGGTGGTCCTTTGACTGTGAGAGGAGTTCTTGTCGGTCTTGTTTCCTGGTCGAATGGTTGTGCAAAAACCAACTATCCTACAGTTCATACTAGAGTATCAGAATTTTTAGATTGGATTAGAATACACTCTATTATTTAAGCAAATTTTCAGTTTTTAAGTAACTGGAAATTCGATTTCTTTTATGAATTTCTATTTATTGACATAAAATATAGTAAAAATAATACCAAGACCCAAAATATTTCCGGTCTATATAGTTATCTATTTGGGACAGATAATGTTGACGTATAATAAGTTCCGGAAGAACTGCTTTGTAATGAATTCACTTTTACTATACGACGCTAAATCTTACTGATAGTCCTATTTTGAAAACACAAAATTTTCTGCGAGCGTAATACAAATTAGCAAAAACTCAGCCACAATAGTAGATTATTTTACAAAGTGAAGTCTTAATTTTCTTTTTACAATTTTCTAAAATAGACATTATTTTATCATAGGTAATTATTAAAATGTAAATATTTAATGAACTAATAGATTAATTATATTAAATAAAAAATGGACTAATAAAAAAATAAATGAAGTAATAAAAAATTAAGTGAACTAATAAAAATATTAACTTCAATAAATTAACAGCAGTATATTTTACTAACTAAAAATCGTGATGGTATTATTAACCCTAACTATAATATTTTTCTCTCAATGTGTCTTTATTTTTATAAACAAATTAATATAATCAATAAACATTTTATCCAGATAAAATAAATAATTCTACATAATTAGTATATATCTTAATGTATTAATCAGTCATCGATTAGCGGTATTACCCTGTCCCATTCATCTCAATCAATACAAATTTTATAAATATAATCAAAATATTTTGGTTTAATGGACGCAATGATAAATAAATAATATATAATCAAAAATATAAATCTTGATGAAGTATACAATAAAAGAAAATTAATTGAAAAAAAATTAAAATCTGTACATTAAATCTAATCTATAGCTTAATACAACAAATTAAAATTTACCTGCTTAAAAATAAATTATCTTGATATAATGAGTATAAATTAATAACCCTAACAGAAAATAAAGCACAGTCTTGGATCGAGTAAAATTTCAAAATGATACATAGTGTATTCTTTGCTCTTAGTCTCCTGGCTTTCTCTCAGGGTAAGTAATAAAAAAAAAAAAAAATTCAGAATATTCTATAGAAGTTATAAATTTATTACTATACTTTGTAATATAGAGGTTTTAATATAAAACTCCTTTTAATATAATAGCTGCAGTCCTTGACTGGGATTCTTTAATACCAAGAATTATCAATGGACAAGATGCAAAACCAGGAGAAATTCCATATCAGGTAAAATTTATTATTTAAAAAAAAGTTTTATGTCAATAACTTTGAATTTTACGTTTTAATAGCTTTTTTTAATGAGACTTAATAAAATTGAAGAAATATATTTTGTAATTCTATTGTAAAGGTGTCACTTCAAACTGTAGCGCAAAAGTTTCATTTTTGCGGTGGATCAATTTTGAATGAAAATTTTGTGATCACTGCAGCCCACTGTGTCGTAGGGTAAGACACATTTTTCTATCTATCTTTTCATGTAAATTTATAATAAATCAAATCAAATTTAAACTTTTTATTTGAATTGATAATGTTTTGCAGTAATAAACCAGTGAACATACAAGTCGTTGTTGGTACCTTAAAATTAAGTAAACCAAAATCTGTACATCTTGTTGAAGAGATTATTACTCATAAGGAATACAATCCAAAAGATGCTTGGAAGAATGATATTGCTTTGCTTAGAGTAAGAATATAATAAATTATTTAACAAAAAGCTCTGGACTAGCGTTATAACATTAAAAAAATTTTTTTTTATATCATTTAGGTAAAAGAACCATTTGTCATGAATGATGAAATCAAAATGATTCCTCTACCAAAACATAATGCAAAATTTGAACCAAATCAGAAAGCTGTTGTTTCAGGATGGGGTAGACTTTTGGTAAAATTTTTCTATTAATTTTTTAAAAAATTGTTTTTTTTTAATAATTATAAGAAACTAATTTTTAATCCCTACAGTTTAATGGACCAACTCCAGATCATTTACAACGAGCTGATCTTGTTATTGCTGATCAAGCCTATTGTGTAAAAAAATACTCCGAATTTGGACTCTCTGTTCATGATAGTCAAATATGTGCCTACGATCCTAAAGTGATGAGAGGATCATGCAATGTAAGAAATTTTTTTCTATAACTTTTATTCATCAAAAAAATGAAAATTAATTGAATATAGAAATAATATATTTTTTTAATTTTTTTCATTTCAAGGGTGATTCAGGTGGTCCATTGACTGTCAATGGGGTTCTTGTTGGTCTTGTATCATGGGCCAATGGTTGTGCAAAAACTGATTACCCCACAGTTTATACTAGAGTTCCAGAATTTTTGGATTGGATCGCACAACACGCGGTTTAATTTTTTTTCCTTCAATCAGTATTTCATATATTTATTTTATATATATACAATTATTCAAATATAAACAGTATTTTTGTAAATTTTTTAAATCTTATGTTATAAAGTACTTTATTATTTAAAACAATAAATTAATATTTATAATATATATTATAATGTCTTTATTATTACAATATTTTTTTCCTTTTATGCATTATTACTATTTTCAAATAAATATTTCCTTGAATCAAATAATTTTTATTTTTCTCAATTTTAACAGTTTTTTTAAATAGTTATTTGTATATTTACAGTTAAGGGCAAAAAAAAAATTGTATACATTTTAGTAAAAATTTTAATATAAATAGAATTTCGTTAACAGGTGGTAAGGTATTGACATAAGTTTAAGCGATATTAAAAAAGAAAACAGAAATATATGAAAGAAGGTGAGACTGTTGCTGACATGAAAGGTATATAGAGTTTCCTAAAGCATTACTAAAAGGTTCAGGAAAAAAAATTTGATACTGAAATAGTGTCATAAACTTTAGAGAGCAATATCTATGATACTTGAAAAAAAAGGAGAAAAAAATTAAACAGAAAGACAATATTACCAAGAAAAATGTTTCACATAATATTCAATTTAATTTAATTTCCTAAAAGCATTTTATTCATATCATTTCGAGCTTATCTTTTCTTCTAGTGACATCGCAAAAATTTTCATCTAATCTTTTACACTGATGACTAATATATAATATATAATAAATGTATAACATTAAAATCAACTTTTTAAACACTATTCTAAGAAATAAGTTCCTAAAAAATTGATAAAATAATTCTTTCACTTATTGAAAATAATATTAATTTTTACAAAGAGATCAAAATCAGTGTGTTTTTATCTTTCATACCGATAAAAAGACCGTTTTTCAAAACAGTTTCAACAGTTTTTCATTCACATTCATACTAAAAATGACACTTTTATTATTTCTTATTTTTGGTTTATTATTAATTTCATCTAATGGTAAGAATATTTTTTTAATTGTTTATATCATAAAAAGAAACAAACATTATTTTAGTATTTTACAGAAAATATAAAATGCTATAATCTTAATATTTTATTTTGATTCCAGCAAGAGATCTAGAAAAAAAATCATTAAATCCCCGGATCATCAATGGAAGAAAAGCATTACCTGGCGAACTGCCATACCAAGTATTTTTTTTTCCACACATTTTTTATTAAAATAAATTTAAATATAACAAAATTTTCCTTCAATTATTGATGCATTTAATATGTTTTAATTTAGTTTATTATTCATTAAATTTGAATAAGTGAGAATTTGTTGACTAATTCTTAATTTTTTTTCTTCTGATGAATATATTCTCTTTTGAAGGTATCACTCCAAACTACAAGCAACTTTCCCTTTTGCGGTGGATCCATATTAAACGAAAACTATGTATTAACAGCTGCACATTGTGTTGTAGGGTAAACTAATTTTTTTTATTTTTAATATCGTCAATAATGCAATTAACAAATAAAATATAATTTTTAAAAAGAAAAAAATTACATAATTTGATGATTAATTTTCATTTTTCAGCCATAATTCAATTACAATGAAAGTAGTTGCTGGAACAATAGATCTTTTGCAACCAAAATCAACTTATTTGGTTGATAAAATAATAAGTCACATTGAATATGATCCATCACGTTCTTGGAAAAATGATATTGCTCTTATTAAAGTAAAATTCATTCACTAATTTAAATTGGTGAAATTTCCTACTAATTTTCAGTCATTTTTACTTTAGTAAAGAAAAATATTACTAAATCATGAGTAATATTTAACTAAAAATTAGTGGATATTTTAATTTAAATTATTAAACTAATTCATACTAATTAAAATTTAGAGAGAAAATAAATTTTCTAATTATTTCTCTTTGATAATTGTAGGTAAAAACACCATTTATAATGAGCAATGAAATTCAAAAGATTGCTCTTCCAAAATTGGATACGATTGTTAGAGAAAATGAAAAAGCTCTTGTTTCCGGATGGGGACGCATTTGGGTAGGTTATAAAAATTAATAAATAAAAGAAATTAAATTAATAAACATAATAATTTTATTTGGTGAAAAATTTGAACCCGAATTTTTTTTTTTTTTACAGTTAGGAGGTCCTTCTTCCAACAATTTGCAATTAGTTAACATTTCAATTGCCAGTCAAACAGTATGTAACAATATTTATCAACCTTTGGGTTTTGATATTTACAATACACAAATTTGTGCATATGATACACAACTAAAGAAAGGAGCTTGCCACGTATGTATTTTTTTATTTACAAAAAAAAATAATTATAATAAATATTATTAATAATAAATGAAATAATTTTTATCTTAGGGTGATTCTGGTGGTCCATTAACAGTTAATGGATCATTACAAGTGGGAATTGTTTCGTGGTCAAAAGGTTGTGCTCAAATCGACTATCCTTCGGTTTATACAAGAGTATCTAAATTTTTAAATTGGATCGAAAAAAATGCCATCTAATTTTGTTCAAACATTTTTTTACTTATAAACAATAATTATTGTATAAATTTAATAAATTATTTCTTTTGTGAATTGAATAAAAAAAGAAAGAAAGGAATAAACATATTTTTATTTCACTTGAAAACAAATTTTATTTGATTTAAATAATTGGTTAAATTGTTTAAAATAAAATTATAAACACCTATAAAGCAAGTAAATTATTTTTATTAAAAAAAAAAATTAATAGATGCGTCTAATATTATTTTTCTCTGTTAATAAATATCAAACACAAAAAAATTTAAAAACATCAATATTTAAAAAAAAGAAGTATAAAAAATTGTTTATAAATTTTTGATGGTTAATATAGTTAAAGATTATAAATTTAATCATTTCTTAAAATGTCAATTCATCTATATAACATAGATAACTAAATTTTTACAAAAAAAATTTATTTTTTTTTATGAAACCCAGATAAAAATCAACATTCATATATGTGTAATCAAATCTTGATATCTATATTTTATTATTCTAAATTGATCAAAGCTCAAGAAGTATAAATACAATATTAATTTATTTCACAAAACAGATTCATTGAACAGTATATTTCTTGCAATCAAATTCACAATGCAACTTTTAATTTTACTGATAATTGGAATTCTATCAATATCTCATGGTAAGAAATTTCACCCAAAAATTAATAAATTATTTTAATTTTTAAATTAAGATTAAATTTAAAAATAAAATAACTAATAATTATTACTTTATATATTATAAAAATAACTAATAGTAAATAATTTTACATCATCTTTTAAGTGCGCTTTAAATTAATTCACAGCTTATATTTTAAAAACAAATTCACTCGAACCGAGAATTATAAATGGAACAGATGCTAAAATTGGAGAATTTCCTTATATGGTACATTTTACTTATTATTTATTAATAATTGCAGAAAATTTTCTTTACTGAAAACTTTTTGCAAAGAAAATTAATGAATTTTTTTTTTATTATAAATGCTTTTTTGTATACAGGTTTCTCTGCAAAGTCTTCATTTCAATGACCATATTTGCGCTGGATCTATTATAAGCAGTAGATATGTATTAACTGCAGCTCATTGTGTTATACTGTACGATATAAAAATTTGATTTTATTTACAAAAATAAAATTTCAAAAAATATTTTATTTGCTCTGAAATATTAATCGTGTTTTTATTTATTTGCAGTCAGTCGAGAAGAAATATGAAAGTAGTATCAGGCTCATTAAAAATAAATGAACCAAAGTCTATTCATTATATTGAAAAAATAATTTTTCATAAAAAAGTTAAATACAAAAGTAAATCGTGGGAAAATGATATTGCTTTAGTCAGGGTAAGAAACATATATTCATCAACTTCAATTATATATACAATCCATTTTTTTTTGCTCATTAATAATTTATTTTTATTTATATATTTATTTTTTAGGTAATAGAAAGTTTTAAGACAAGTAAGACGATAAAACCAATAACTCTACCTAAACCCAAAATGATTATAAAAGACAATCAAAAAGCTGTTATTTCTGGATGGGGTCCTCTTAAAGTAAGTGTGTGATAATAATTTATATGCTCCTATTGATTTCAATGGTATTATTTTTAACTTTAAAGGAAGAAGAAGAAAACTTAGTTTATTCTTGAATTTTGCTTCAATTCAACCAAAATAAAATTCAATTCAATTTTAAAATTCAAACAAAATTTGATTATTTCAAATAATCTTTTTTTTGTGCAAAAATTAAAAAATTTTTTTTTAACAGCTTGGAGGTTCTAACTCGAATAATTTACAAAAGGCTAATATTTTCATAGTTAAACAAAGCTTTTGCGTAAACACGTATAAGAAAAAAAATTTGACAATTTACAATTCTCAATTATGTGCTTATGATCCAAAAATCCAAAGAGGAGCTTGTATGGTAAGTTTCTATATAATCTATTTTTTTTCAATTCACTAAAAGTTTTTATCAAAAAATACTATTTAATTCACTCAAATAATTATTTTCATACAAATAAGATATTTTATTTCAGTATATGAAAAAATTAGTTCTTTAAAATTAGTAGAATAAATAATAATAATAATATCTTTTTGCTTTTCAAAGGGAGACGCTGGTGGTCCTTTAACTATAAATGGAGTTCTCGTTGGTATTGCCTCATGGGGATATAATTGTGCACAAACAGACTACCCATCAGTTTATACCAGAGTAACTGAATATCTTAGTTGGATTAAGGCAAACTCATAATTATAAACAATATTTTTTCTCACTGTTGTAAAATTCATTCTCCAATGTATAATATAGAAGAAATTATTAAATTTTTTCTAGAGGTTTTAGAATTAAAAATATTTACTACAGCTACAGCAAATTTTTAATGAATTCATATTTATTTTCGTGTAACTGACAAAATAGTCAAATTTGACTAATTGAATAAGTTATAAAAATTTTTTATTAATGTACAACAATAAAATTAGGAAAATAAAGATTTTCAGTTCCAAAAAAAATACAGTTTCAAAATTTTTGAAGACGAACGGATTGAACGGGACATGGTAGCAGCAGGTCAGCTGGCGTCTCGGGATCAATACCCCGCTTGCGCTCACGTGTTGCTCTCATTTCCAATGACACTTTAACCAAGATAAATTTGTCCAATTTTTCTTTCTTTTTTTTGGCAATTGAACAATCAATTATTGAATCCATTTAATTTCATTACTTAGATTAAAGGCATATAGATAATTCGATAAGACCAATTTTTATTCTCAATTTCCATAAAAAGGTTATTGAACCTTTCTAACCTTTAGGAATACTCTTTTATTCTAGTTTTCTTTTCATTTTTTAGTTTTCAATTTTTTATTTACAAAAACAAAAAAAAATATCCAATAAAAAGCATTTTCTCAAGCAAGAGAAAAAAAAACAAATAAAAATTTCAAATCGAATAAAAATATTGCAAAAATGTCATATTCCAATGTTTCTCTTTTCAAAAAGTATTGCAATATATAGATTGACAAGAAAAATTTTAAATTAAAGAAGCTTTGAAGTTATATATGCGCTTCGAATGCAGCTTTGAATTTCACGTTGCTTTATAGTATATAATAAAACCAAAAACCAGCTTCTTGTATATTGGAAACGATAATTTGAAAGCTTTTTTTTTTAAGTTGCATTATATATATAGAAAGCTCATTTTCGATGGATCGTTAAATCCTCTTTTATTATCGTCTCGCCACTTAGTTATTCAGAAAAAAATATATATATATGTAACTAAAATTCATGTTGGCGACTTATTATTCAACACTAGATTTAGGATTTCCAAATTTTTAAAAATTTTTATACATCCACGAAAAAGAATAAATTAGCTAAGAATTTTTAGAAATTTGAATTATTAAAAGTTTGAATTATTAAAAAATCGAATTTTCAAAAGTTCTAATTATCAAAAGATAGAATTGTTAAAAATTCGAATAAAGTTCAGAATATCTAAAATATAATATATATATACATTACGTAAGCTCAATCTTCCAGATGCTGAACTTTCGACGAGAAGAAATTCCTGCTTGCATTGCTAATGAATTTTCATCTCTTTACATTTAGGTCATTTCTCTTAAATGCTTTTGCCAAAGAAAATTTTATGCTAAAAGGTTTATAGGTCTTTTAATTAACCAATTTTGACGCTTTTAATAAAAAAAAAAAACCCCCCGTTTTTTTCCCCATTTAACACAGTCATATAATTTTCACAGAGAAACATTATTTGGAAAAAACAGAAAATAATATACGATTTCATTAACTTTCAAACAACCAAAAATGGTAATTTTATTTCAACGCTTTTATTCTAGACGATAAAAAGTGTCCTATAAAAAAAAAGTAATTTACATGGAAATAAAAAAAAATAAAAATTCTTTTCTGTCAGAAATCTCCATATAAATATATTTCATCTCTTGACATTATATAATGTGTGTCTCGAGATTCATGCTCAATCAAATTTATCTTAATAACAATAATAATAATACATTCATATTATATTAATTATTATTTATAATTTTTAAATAGAATTTATTTTTCGAAATTATAAAATTACATTAATTGTAATTATTAATCATTTATTGCTTTCTGTATAACAAAAACAAATTTAAATTTAATTGATGAAAAAGTATTTCAATATTTATTGGATTAAAAAAATTATAACCCACGCTATGAGACAGAAACAGGAAACTAAAAGAAAATAGGAAATTCAGATATTCAATTAATTGCAAAAAAGGAAGAAATATATTTGCATGAAAAAACAATAAAGTAAATAAATTTTCAAAAACAATAAAGTAATTTTTCAGTGTAAATTGAAAACTATTTGAAAACAGTCACAAGTTGAGCTATATATCAAGTATACCTTGTGTAACAAACAAAGCCTGGGATACAATAAATATATATAGTATAGGGTAATAACCCTCTATTCTATCCTGAAACACATCTCTTTGTGAACTTCCGTGCAAAGTGAACGTACGTATTAAAATTGAAATATGCAATAAGAATAGTCAAATTTTATTCAAAATAAAAAAATATTTGAAATTTGTATGTATTCTAACTTCATTTTTCTTTTCCAATTCTGATTTAGAAAAATTATAACAGCCAAAAATTGAAAATACATTTCTGTGTCGGACTAAAATTGACCTTTACTACTTACATACCAAAATTTGGATAATGAAACAAAAATGAGCAAAATTTATTTTTACTGTTATGTGTGTAGATTTCCGTCTGACTATAATTTACCTATACTACTAGTACTAAAATTTAAAAAAATGTCTACAAATACCCTAAACTTACTTTTCCTACTGATGGTAAAATTACATTTATTTAAACTTTACGTCCGACCTAAAACATACTTTTACTACTGATAATAATTTTTTTTTCTAAACTGTTGTGTCTGATCAAAATTTACCTTAACTAATTACGAACAAAAATAAGGAGAATAGCAGAAAATAAATTAAATAAAATTACAATTTATGTCTGACCCTAAACATATTTATACTACTGATAATGAAATTTTTCTAATTATAATTTTAAACTTCAAGTCTGACCAAACCACACTTTTACTACTGATAATTTTTTTAGTTTATTGCTCTGACACACTTTTTGATGATACTAAAAGAAGTGTTTCAGATGATTTAGAGTCCTGAATACAACATAGAAAAGTGGATACAAAAAAAGCTGCATCAACTTTTAGTCAAAAACGAGCCCTTGTGGATGCCCTCGAGCGAGGTTAAGGGCGGTCAATAATCCCAACGCTCGTCAATGTTGGAAAGGTTGGTGGCCCAGTGACAGTTTACGACACACCCTCTCTCTCTCTCTCTCTCTCAGCATCCCACCTGCTTTATAACACTATCGCTTTTTTACTATTTAATCCTTTACTCTTCTTCCATCATTTTAGACTTTAATAACTATTTCTTATCTTCAGACATTATCTTTCGACTTTCTTGGAAATCATATAAAAAACGATTGTCTTATTTTAAGACATTATTAAACGTCTAAAAGTTAATGTCACATTCGTTAAGAAAATTTCTAAGATATTTTGCCATTCATCAAAATCTAAGATACCATAAAATGTCATAAAAAGGACAAAAGTGTCTTAAAATAGATGTCTTATTTTAAGACACTTTTGTTTTAAAACATTTTACGGTGTCTTAGATGACAAAACATCTTAGATATTTTCTTAAACGATAATATTAAGACATTTTATAAATAAATAAAATAAGACACACGTTTTTGTTATGATTTCCAAGAAAATCGTCGGGAAAAATTTTATATTAAAAAAAAAAAGAATAAATAAATAATTTCTGAACTCACCTGTTTTCGTAGTGGCGTTGAACATTCATCTTTATTTCTTTCGAAACGCTCAAATTTAAAGCTATTACTACGATATAATTCATTGTCACTTTGTTGTCTTCGGCAAAGTCTTCTTGTTAATGCTCGTGGTTTACATGGTGCACATTCTGATGCAAGTTCCCAATGTAAATGTAACATTGCCAATTCGGCTGTGCAACGTGCCATTGCACAACCAGCGCGTCTCACGCGACATTTTACACGTTTTATTCGTCCCTCAATTGGTTTATGTGGACATGGTTGCGATGGACAATCACAAGAACGACGTGGACGACGTGTTTTTATTGTATGACAACATGGTCGCGCTTCACATTCACAATCTTCATCGTTGTGAGGACAATTTGTTTTATCAGGACATTCACATGAATTCATTGGATTTATAATTCGTACCACTGGATTCAATGGTAGCATTGATGAAAATCCCTGAGGACGACGTCGAGTGCTCGATGACATATGACGACATGGACGCTCTGTACAGTCGCATCTGAAATTGTTTTTCTTTTTTGTTTTTTTTTGACTAAAGAGGTTAATGGGAGGGAAGAAAACAGTTTATTCTAAATAATATTAATAAAATAATGGATCTTATTAAACTTCTTTAATATTATAAAGAAAATAAAAGAAATTAGTTTTGTAATTTCAATTAAGGACGATTATTATTATTATTAAAAATTAATAATTCTCCAAATGAGATTTTCAATCTTATTAAGAAGCTGTGAATTTCAATATTGCTTTTACGAATTCAGCTCTAGAGTTTACTCGAGGCAAATATCATTTACTTGAATCGTTAAACTTTTTCTCTACTATAAACTTTGTTAATTAAAAGACGATAAAACTCTCATTTATGTATACATTTTTCAATGAGATAAGTAACTTTTACATTTAGAGAGAAGGTATAATTAAATTTTTTCCTTCATTCATTTTCATAAAAAAAAATTTGTTTTTTTAAATGAGAAATTAAAAATTTCTGTACTGAACAGTAAAATTTAAATTTACATATACCATTTGGAGTAAAAAATTGGAAAATTAAACAAAAATTTTAAACGTCCTGTCTGACTAAAACATACTTATACTACTGATAATATAAAAAAGTTTATTTCACAAGTTCTGTCTGACTAAAAATTGCCTTTACTACTTATTGACTGAAATTTGATAAATAACAAAAAATATGCCTGACCAAACTTTACTTATACTACTGATAATAAAAAAATTAATTTACAAGTTCTGTCTGACTAAAAATTCCCTTTACTACTTATTTACTGAATTTACTCATACTACTAACTGATTCTATGAATTTAATCTGTGTCTTACCAGTGCTTACATTACTGATAAAAAGTCAATTTTAATTCTAAAACTAGAAAAACTTGTCTGACCTTTACTACTCATAAAAATTGCATTCCGGCGAAAAATTGTCTGACTACTTTCACTACTAATTAACAAATTTTTTATGAATTAAAATAAATGTCCAAATAAAGTTCAATTTACCTACTAATAAATAATTACTATTTATTCTAAAACTAAAGTTATTAAATTTGTCTGACCTGAACTGACTTTTACTACTCATAAAAAATACATCACAATTTTTGTATTTTTCTTCAACTGTGAAAGATCTCATGTATATATTTATAAAATAAAAATTAAAACAAAAATATTTCAAAAATGTTTAAAAAATATTTCTAATTCTAGTTTTGAATTAAAATTGGTAAATCTTATTTCATTATTTTCCCCTGAATAAAAGCCGCTTTATAATTCACTAATAAATATGATTGCAAAGAAAAAAAAGGGGGTTGTCGTCAACGGCAAAGTATACAATATAAAAGGGTCGAAAAGGACTTGTATGAGAGTGAAGGAGGAAAGGGTTTGTTTACCTTCTGACCCGGCGCGAAACAGTAACCCGTGAAGCGGCGTGGGGACAGGGTTGGGACTCTGTTGGACAATCGCAGCTAGTGGGAGGAGGTCGCTGAGTTCTTCGAACTCTAATCAAAACAGGATGCACGGGACATGGCTGCACTTGACATCCACAAACAATAGTTTGGGGTCCTTTTGATTTGCGTGCAGAACCACTGCCGCCACGTTTTGCTCGTTGGTCCACGTGCAACTGACATGGCTGCGTGGGACATCCACAACGTCCCACAGCGCCGCTATTACCACCGCCGCGACGCCCAGCTCCCTGTACTCTTCGCCACACGCGCTCCATTCAACGATCTGCGTGCAACTGAAAATTGCACCTCAAAATACACCCCCACACCTCCATTATGGACTTACATTCACCATTCGGTAATTCTCGATTCAACTCGGTTCATTTCGGCTTTTATTATTTGGAACCATTTCAATGCAGCGAATCCCGCAGGATCGAATTTTTTTTTATATATATATAGAAAAGGAGATGCGCAATCATCATTTTTCCTATTCGTCACCAAAAAAAAAAGGGACGATCGAATTGCTCTTATTAACGATTTTTTTTTAACATCAAGTGACTCAGCTTTTCATCCATTACGAAGGCATTCTTTGTTTTAGAGTATCCTCTTATATGTCATTCAGAAACCATTCATACTTTTCAAACAAGTGACTTTTGTGTTTAAAATTCTTTTTTTTTGTTTTGTATAAGTATTTACAATTTTTTATTCAAGTTTTTATTGACAATAACAGAAAATGAAAAATGTTAGTTTTGTTAAAAATTATTTTTTTCTAAATATAGGGCAGTGTGCCAATTACTGAGCTTTTTTTGAAAGAAACTAATTTGAAACTTTATGTCTCAAAATATAGTTTCACTATTGATAATTTTCTTCTTTTTAACAGTTCTGTCTGACTAAAATTGAACTTTACTACTTAATATATAAAAAAACAATGTAACATATTCAGATAAATCCTGTCGGACTAAAATTTACCTTTACTACTTATGTACTAAAAATTTAGGGAATATCAACAAATATATATATGTATAAACCAAAAGTCACTTTTACTACTGATGATAAAATTAAACATTAATAATTTACGTCTGACCCAAAACACACTTTTACTACTGCCAATAAAATTATTTTTATTGTATACGTTTCTGACTGACTAAAATTTAAATTTTACTACTTAAACTATAAAATTTAATGTAATCTAAACGAAAATGTCTACATAAATTTTACTTTTATTGTATCAATAAAATAAACTTAACTAATTTGAAACTTCATGTCTGACCAAAATATGGTTTTACTACTGATAATATTATTTACTCAATTTTTAACAGTTCTGTCTGACTAAAATTGAATTTTACTACTCATGTAACATAATATAATTTTTAAATTTTGCTTTCTGCAATTCTTTTTCTTCAATTTCTAATTTATTTCATTTTTATTTTACATTCAAGTAAAAAAAATTAAAGATCTCAATTCTACTATTATATGTAATGATTTAATATATATAAAAATTTTCAACATTAGTAAATTTCCATTATAGATAAAAAAAAATTTACACGCACTTTATTTAATGATTAAAAATCACAGAATTATTTTCTTTTAAAAATTATTATTTACATAAAGTTAATTATTCGATTTAGATGTACTTAAAACGGAAGCTGTGAATATTTGCTGTAAAATTCGGGGAATATTCTTTAAATCCATACATACAAATGCTTTACCCGAAGGCATTTTTTTCATCAATCTGTAAATTAAACCATAAAATTTAAATCTTGAATTTTAATTAATATTATGAATAAATTTTAATTTTTCGTTTTAATACAAATAGTAACAAAAAAAAAAGAATCATATATATTACCTTTCAGCTTGATTTCCCAATGAACCAATAAAAATTGCGTAAGCATTGACATTTGAATTTGAAACAAGAACTTTAGCAAATCGTTCAGGAGGAATTCCATAACGTTCTAAATTTGCATCCGAAAGTACAACAACTATTGATTCATCCGAATCTTCCTTCGACAAACTAGCAATCGCGTGTTGCGTTGCCTCAAGTGTATTGTCCCCAGACATACAAAACTGCGAGTGAGCATGCATTGTCTAAACAAATAATAATTTACATATTTCATGAAGAGAAACAATTAAATAAATTAAATTTTCAATTATTGTTAATAGTTTTCAGTTAATTTTGTAAACGTACCTTAATTACTTCTAATCTTCGTTTATTATCAACAGGAGGTTGTAAATGATCAACAAAAGCAATATGATAATCCTCTCCAGAATGACCGACAATATCGTATTTTAATTTTTCCTCATATCCATTAAAAGCTTCCATAACCATAACACAAGCTTCCATTTCTCTATCCAGTCTACCATCATATCCATTGAATCTATACATACTACCAGAAACATCAACAACTAATTTTAATCGTTTTGGTTTTAATTGTGGAGCACCAATATCTGGCTCCTTCTCAGCTCTTCTTCGATAAATATTTTTCTCTCCAGTTAATCCTTCAATTAATTTTGTATCATCCAATTCTCCTGATGTTTGATGCCTCCACCATTGTCGTTCATTACTTTTTGCTTGAAGACTTCCTGATTTTCATCAACAATTTAAAAAAAAACAGTTCGTTAATCTATATTTTATTAATTAAAATTACTTTTGTAATTAAAATTAATTTTCTCAAGTACCTAAAATGACTCTCAAAGCTTGAACTTCTTTTCGTACTGCATCACTGTATTGACTATAAAGTTTATGATCATATTCACTCATTCGTATGTCCTTTAATCGTTGCTTAAAGGCTTTTAATCCCATTTCGCGAGCCGCTTTTTTAATATGTTCAGGAACTGCATTTTTCTCTTCGTCACTCAATTGATGAACTGTATGGCCAGCATCTAAACGATAGGGTCCTCCTTTACCTCCAAGACCAGCTGTATCTCTTCCTAAAATTAAAAATAGAATTTAAAAGAAATTCAAAAAAAAATAAATGTGAACATTATTATTATTACCTCCGGTACCACCAGCCCATGTATTTCCACCAACGTGAGGATCATTATTATGATCAATTTTTCCATGTTTTGGTCCACTGACATCCAAACCTGAATATCTTTCCTTAGTCAATTGTAAACGTTGTTCATCACCTCCTACCATTTTTCTCCATTCACCTAAAGATTTTTCAATATTTATCAAAGAAGTTTCCCATAGTCGAACACAACCACCTGCATCAACTGTCACAAGACCATCATTAGAAGTCAATGCCGAATAAATTGGAAGTTCCTCTGTATAAAGCCATTGTGTCACTGGAGATACATTCACTGGTCTATGAAACAAAAAAAACAATTTTTTATCACTAATAATTATTTAACTTCGAAAAAAAATATTATTTCAAAACTCACTGTGGTATAGGAAGATATCTAACTTTATGATTAAAAGTATCGACAATTTCAAAATAAGCCTTATTTCCATTGGAAAAAATATCCTTTGGTACAAAATTTGATGAAATTGTACGAACAATTTGTCCACGATCGGTAATAATTGGTTGAGCAGAATTTCTCATTCTCTTATCACGTGGCCAATGATAGACATCATTTGCACTATCTAATTCCGGAAATCCAACGATAATTGTCGCAAAACTATTATCAGAAACTAAAATTCTATTTGGTGAATCAATATTCTGTTTTAATGCATTACTAAGATGATCTTCACGAAGACTCTCTTTGCCACAGGACAAAAAATCGCCTATTTCTAACGGAGTTTCTTCAATTTCTTTCAAAACATTAGGACAAGGATTATCAGACAATGATTTAACTAATAAATATTTTTTCTTTGAATTAGATTGAATTAACCATTTTTCTTCAGAAGCGATTAAAATAGATTCCACTGGAAATGGAAAATTCATTGAATAAACAATCATTGTATCTAAATTAACAATTTCCATTTTATTATCATCTGGTGTAAATAAAATCAATCGATCATTGGAAACTAATAAATCTGATTTTAATTGCCAAATAATTTCTTTATTTCGAAAAACCTGGGAAAATTTATGATCCATGAACGAAGAAGATAATTGTAAATTATTAACTGTTCCTTCCTCCAAATTAACTGAGAGTATTGTATTAGACTGTAAATGAAAAAAAGAAAATGAGAATAAAATATAAATAAATATTGTTTAGATTTTATTATTTACCGTTCCTTCGTGAATAATTAGATTTCCATTTTTATCCGATGCAATTGTATAAAGGGGTTTATTACCCCTGATGGGAGTTATTAAACCTTGTAGTGATATTTCTTGAATATATTCTGATTCTCTAGTCATGGTAAAAATTGAAAGTGGATTAGTAGTTAATACGTGAAATTTATCAACTCCATTTGATCCCTTCGTGACTGCTAATGCAGAAACAACTCCTGTATTATTAATCGGTATTGTCCAATAACTCAATAATTCGGTAAACCACGCTGATCTAGCTTCTATTTTATCTAAAAGATGTAAACGCTCTTTTTGCCCACCAATTGATTTCATTTTAGCAAATCTCTCCTGTACAGCTATTGTTCTCTGTTTTTTATTCAAAATATTCCAATTACCATGGAATTTTAATTTTGGCAAAGGAATTCTGAAAGAATAAACAATCTTATTTTTACTCATTGTATTTATTAGAAAAATCATTTTATACACAATATAAAAGTAATTAAATAATAATAATTTTCCATTATTTCCATTTTGTGCTTACTCTTTGGCTAATGCCACATTTTTCAAACTTGTTCCAATTGGAATTCCATGTTTATGAAGAACAGAGATCAATGTATCAAACACTTCTGGTGAATATCGATCAAAATCGAATACATTTTGCACTACATTGTTTAAAGATTCTTTAGGAAATTTCTGAAATTAAAGAAAAATTTTAGTTTAAAAAATCTAAATAAATTAAACTAATAAATTACTAAACTAAAAATAATTTTTTACCAACCTGTAAATGTTTAACAATATTAACAACTTCTCTGGTAGAATAAGGATATGAAACAAGTCCTTGATCAGCCATACTTCTTAATTCACCAAAAGCTTTAACGAGTTTATAAATTATTTTATCATCAACATCAGGACCATATTGTCTTAATAATTTTATTTCATTTTCAACCGATGGATTATCAACAGAATGTGTACTAAATAAATCGCCCAATGCACCAAAAAAATCATTTCCTAAAAATGGAAAACCAGGTCGATTGGCAAGAACAATCATTCTAAAATCTGGATGCATTGCTATCAAATCGGATGTATTTTCTCCAAATTGATCATACGGAACTATTCTTCTTCCATCCGATAGAATCATTTCTCCAGATTCGACTAAGGTCTGGAAAAAAATAAATTTTTAAAAATTGACAATAATAATAATAATAATAAATACCTTTAAAATACAGGTGACATGTGTCGGTGCCTTATCGGCCTCGTCGATAACCAATACATGTCCAAATTTAACAGCCTGAACGAGTGGTGAATCTTCATAAACAACAACACCATTTTTAACCATTGGCTGTATCGTTAATGTTTGTACAGTTGTATCTCTATGTAATTGAATATATTCCCTCGGTCTATTCATTAATTGAAGTAAACGATCGGCAATTTTATTTTTACCAACTCCCTGATTACCAACTAATAATAAATTTTGTCCCAAACTAAAGTCTTGCAATAAATTCTCAAGAAGATGTAAATGCTGTGGTACATTATAAAAGAGAATATCTGGAATTTTAGTCAATGCATTTGTTTTATATCGTTTCATTGTTGTTTCTCCAATTGTCAAATTTTCTTCATTTACATTGCAAATTATTTCCTCATTAAAATTTTCATTTTTAGGAAGGATTTGCAATTTTTTTAAACAATTTTCCAATGCTTGTTTTGTTAATAATGGTAAGAAACGAGCTAAACATGCACGTTGCACTGTATCGTAGGCATCGCTTTTTGGAAATTTGTGCATTTTTGCTGCAATTCTAAACAATTGTCTGGTGCTTAATGAACTTGATAAAGATTGTAGTGTTGGATCACTCGAAGAACGTAAAACATGAGCTAATTCTATTATTTTCAAAAGATCATTGCTTGGCTCTCCGTACTGAAAATTTTGTTATTATTATTATTGAAATATTAATTTATCACTAATTTGCAAAAATTACCTTTGATCGAATCACATGAATTTCTTCAGTCTTGTCTAATGGTCTCATTTCGTGAAATAGAAAAAGACTGAGTAACTCTGAATTTAACCATTGACCAGCAGAACTATTTAATATTGGCGGCTCTGCTAAACTGATAATTCTAAATGCTGGATGTATTTTTAAAATTCCTGAATTTTTCATTTCGTCGTCAGTTTTTTGAAATTTTTCTTTAATCGCATCATAATGTTCAGCCGCCATTAAACGCTTTCCATCATGCATTTGTAATTCTCGATTTTGCACTAATCTATTGTTTCATTTATTTTTAATAAGCTAGAAATTGAAATTTGTTTTTTTTTTTTAATTACCTGTAAATAACAGCCAAAGTGCTAGGATGAACTCGATGAATTCCATCTAATACTGCTAATTTTCCTTCAAGTGCGGCTGTAACTAAAACTGAATTTTTCCAAACAGTATCACCATTAAGTAAAGTTGTTCTTTGCTGAATAAGATCCCTCGAAGTCATATCCTGAAAAATAATTTTTTATTTCGAATTTTCTTTTTGTCGAAAATATCAAATATTATCTTACCTGATAAAGAACTATTGGCTCAATTTGATAACCAAGTAAATTTGCTAATTTTGCAACTGTTGCAGATTTTCCACAACCTTTTGGTCCAACAAGACACCAATCTAGAGCCAAGTGTGTCTTCATCATATTAGCTATTAATGAATTTTGATAATGTGTATCTATAAACCATTCCAATGATTTTTTACATTTTCCAGAACCTGCTGGAACCTATTTTCATTTTTTTAAAAATAATTTTAATCAATTAAATACATTAAAATAAATTATAATAAAAATTTTTTGATTTTTTTTACATTAAAAACGGTTTCATCTCCATTTGAATTAATTGAAACTTGTGCTGTACTATCTAATAATTTTATATCTTTTACATTGCTACTGTCTTCCTTATTATCCAAAACACCAAATGTCTGTAGAATATCTTCAACAGCAGTTTTTCCCTCTTTAGTCAAAAATAATTTATAGGGATAATATCTATAAAATACATTAAAGACACTTGTGTTTGGAAAATTCTCCTAAAATAAAATTTCAATTTATTATTACGATTTAGAGAAACTGGAAATTAGGAATATTTTTCTTTCATTACCAAAATAAATAAATAATAATAATATTACATTAAAAATAAAATAAATACCAAAATAAATGCAGCGGAAGTCACATTGTCCAGAGGAAAATCCGGAAGTCCTAAATTTAGAGCTTCTTTAGTGGCAAGAGCATGACAACAAGAGAGAAATTGTGATAATTTGCCAGGATCAACATTTGGAGCTAATCTTTTCACTTCTTCTAATTGTTCCTAAAAAAAAAAGAAAGTTCTTAAAATGTTATTTACATATAAATATTTTTATTTTTAGAAAATCGTATTAAAAAAAAATGTTTAGATAAAGTAAGAAAAATTTGAATCCTATATAGAAATTTAAGATTCTCAATTAAAATTAGAAAAATATAAAAGTTTCTAGTGCTTTTAATTCGCGATTGGTGAATGACTCTTTCTCTCACTCTCTCCAATTTGTGCCAAATAGTTTTCCAAAGTGATTAACAGCAAGAGCCATTCTTCACACCAGTGAGCCGCAATGAATTACTACCTCTCGACACGAACCCTTGAAATTGCTACATTTCCATCGAAACTTTTGACTTGAATTGCCTTTATCATCAAATAGATGATCATTATATAAACCACTCGAATCCCTAGAAACTTTAAATTTCCAAACGATTTTGCAATTTCTATATTCTTAACAGAAAAAAGTAATTTCATTCTTTTTCAATTAGTTTCTAAAATTAAAAATAGACTTCAAAATCGATATTATATTTTTTTAATTAAATCTTTAATAATTAATTTATCTGAATAAATAAAAAATCATTTACTTGTTTATTCAATTTGAAGAAAGGGATAATTACAGTCATTAATAATTTAATTGGTAAAATATTAAAATAACAATTTAAAGTCTTAAAATTTTGAAACCTTCCATTTCTTGCACGCCATAACAATAAGAAGACGTAACAAAGTTTTACAGATTTTCTTAAAGAGAAAAAAAAAGTTCCCTTATAATCTCATAGTAAAAAAAGATATATGCCGACTCATTAGCTGACACAGACACGCGATTTGTGGAAAGTAATTTCCTGAGTCTACCGCATGCCAAAAACACCTTATTTACTGAAAAATGACACAAATTTTCTTTTTTTTTACTATATATTTCAAAGTCCAATTAATTAATAATAATTAAAAATCAATTTTTTTATTTCTATTATTATTATTATTTCTTTTTATGATTTTATTGTTTTCATCAACGATAGAAAACAATAATCTGTCTTCAGACAGATGGATGAACAGATTAATATAAATATTTCAGTTGAAAAAACGAATGAAGTTAAATGAAATGCAAAAAATTTAAAAACCGTGAAAACAAAAAGAAGACGTGACAATAAAATTAGAGTCTAATTTTATATGACAAAAACTTTTCTAATCGCATGATTTGTACGCGTGAAATATCACGATATCCCTTACTGGCACCAAAGAGCAAAGAAACTTATTTTGCTAAAAAGAAATTGTAAAACAAAATAAATTATCATATGTAATATATAAATATAATTCAAGAAAAACTTTATTAGAATTTAATAAATCATAGTAAGAATGTCCTTTAACATTTCATTAACTTTTTTTTATAAAAATAAAACTAATTAAATTACCTGGCAATTAATTGTCAGTTTTTGATAATTCCAAACTTTGAATTTCTTTGTTAAATGCGAAGTCTTATAATTTCACTTTAATTTGATAAGTTTATTTATTTTTTCAATTAAGCAATTATATACTATAATTAATAAATATTATAAATTCCTTTTTACATTATTTATAACAAACAAACAAACAAAAAAATAAAAAATTTCTCCCGTGAGAAATTTAATCACATATTAAAGATTCTTGTGATGAATATCTTTCTATTTTTAATGATGGTAGAAAAATGTGCAATTGAACTTTTCCCGGTGGACACCAAATAATTTTCCTCTCTACAGTTTCATGTGTTTCTATTTCCTCTGAATGTTTTACTTCCTTATAAAATTCATTAAAATTTGATTCATAATCCTGCGAAATACAAGAATCATGATTTGTATCTTTTATTTTAAAAAGTCTCTTCTTCATTATTCTCTTCAATGTTTCGTCCTCTTTTTCCGCCTCTTCCAATTTATAACTCTGAATTGGAATTGAAATTAAATTTTCACGTCGTCTTAAAATTTTCTTTTGACTAAAATTCACTTCAGAATTATCTTCATTTGATGATTCTTCTTTTTCAACGTCTTGATAATCTTGAGAATTTCCCGAGAGATCTAGCCATTGAAGAATTTTCTCCGATAATGGATTTGAATGATTTTTTTCACATCTATGATTAGTGATGAAGTCATCAAAATCAGTTTCCTCTTCTCTTGAGAAATTGAGATTTTTTCTTAATGAATTTATGTCATTATGAAAAACATTGTCAATTGTTTTTCTTAAATTTAAAATTGTTTCTGAATGAAAAATATCATCTTCGTATGAAAAATTGGTGATTTGTTGTTTATTAATATTTTTGGATAGATTAAAATTATTATTTGTGAATTTTTGTGAACAAGGCGCAGATTGTGTTCGAATTAAATTCTCCTCAAGTTTTTCCGATTTTTCTACAACAATTCTCAATTTCAAAAAGCAATTATTCAATCCTTCTGAATTTGATTTGTATGGCTCGTATTTAACAGGATAAATTTTTTCCTTCGTGACTGAAGTTTGTGGTCGTCTACGTGATTTAATATTCAAGAAAGGATCATCGTGAGAAAGAATAGCGTGTCGAATTCCATCCACCCAAATTGTTCTCACAGAAATTGGTCTTTCTGATGAGGACCAAATTGGCGGCATTATCTTAACGACACTTTTTCAAATTCAAAAATTTTTAAATTATTTGAAAAACAAAATTAAAATTTTTTTTTCAATGTTGTGTCAATTTTGAATTTAAATTCTATATTTAAAATAGAAAAAAAATTCTTTTTGAATTTTTGAATAATTATTACATCATTTAGTAAATAATTCAATAGTTTTGTAAATTTATTTAATTCATTTTTAATAATTAATTATAAAGGGATTATTTTTCATGTTTTTTTTGCACTCTTTTTTTTTTTGAAATTAAAAAACAGTAAAAGGAAGAACGCCCGTGATTTTTTTAAAGTTAAAAATTGAAGACTTAGATATTTTAACAGCGATAGAGGAGGAGAAAAATGAAACGTATCGACTGCGACCAGGAAGACGGGAATGGTGACTGCCATTTGAAGCACGCGATCCAAACCACTGTCTGGTGACCATCGCGCGCAGCTACAAAATCTACTTTACATACGTATACGTTTGGAAACAAATCTCTCGGAGGGGATGTGCGAAATTTGTATTTAACACCGAAAGCCAAATCTATTCTCCATATTATATAGTTAAAATCGGAGTAAAACTTTTATTAACTATTTGCACGATTGTCCTCAATCGTTTAAATCTAAAGTACCTTACTGCTGAAAGCTAATTTTCTCCAGGAATTTCGGAACTGTCACGGATATAATTTATTTTAACTACCTCGTTTATTTAACAAGAATGATGTTAAACTTTTAATGGAATTAATCGCTATTTCCCTAATATAAGAAATTTGATTGGATTTTTTTCCCCAAGGTGAAATGTAAAATTTACTGCATGATTTTATCTAACTTAATGATAATTTTTTGTTTGATTTATAAAAATAAAACAAAAATTCATATCATAAATTTAGAAAAATAGAAAGTTACCTCGAAACTTGGTGGTGGAATATGTCTTGCTTGAAATCTTGATCTAAGCGGTGGATCTAAAGGATGACCAGAATAACGAGGCGCAGGAAGTCCTAAAGCAATTACTCGAAAATCTTCACTAACTCGAACTAATCTCCAAAAATCTAATTCTTTCTGAGAATGTTCCTAAGAAAAAAAAGATTTTTAAATTCAATTGAAAACACAAAACTACAAAATTGTAATAATTAAACAAAATTAATTGTAATTATAATCAAACCTTCAATAATTTATCATAACGTGAAGCTGGTATAAGAAATCTTCCATCTTCAAGATGCATTTCTCTATTTTCTAAAAGATTATTTAAAATAGGCAGAACATTTCTTTCTGCTTTTTCAATACCTTCTAGAATTAAAATTCGCCCATTAATAGCAGCTCTTACTGCACTTTGATCATGATAATTTGCAGTTCCATTTTCAATTTCTTTTCTCTGCTTAAGATCAGCTTCGGTTGTATCGCGTGATAAGGCAATAAATTCTACTTCTCTTTCTATTAATTCTAAATAAGCTAAAGCGAGATTCCGTCTTCTGTGACCAGGCGCTCCCATTAAAAACATATCCTGTCCTAAAATATCTTTCTGTAACATCCATCTTAAATGCCTTAATGTTTCCTGACTCGGTTCCTTTACTATAACAATTTTTTTAAACATATTTTTACATTAATATTTAATTTAATAAAAAGAATGTCAAATTTTTCCTATATTTTCTAATTATTTATTTACTCACAATAATTTCTAGGTACGTATTCTGGATTTTTTGCTGGTTTTACAACTTTGACAACATCTTTTATAGTAACTAATGATTGATCTGCAAAAATTAAAATTTTCCTTTTAATAAATATATTATTTATAATTATTTGTATTATAATTTATTATTCTACATACCTGTTGACTTAAAACGGAGCAGCCAAATAAGGTTAGGTTTTATTACAGATTGTTTTGTTTTGTTAAAACATTTACTAACACTTGTTGATTGTCGTAAAAAAGAAGGAGCAATAAATAACATTTTAATTTCTTTAAGGTAAAAATAAATACATATTTTTACAATTTTTGATATCTGCGCACAACAAAATAAACACACGTGCTTTTTTTAAAATAATTGAATGAGTGACACTTTAATTATAATAAAGGATTTCTTCAATTTGGAGAAAAATTTTCACTTTATAGAAATTTTATCCTTTTTTACTTTAGTTTAAATCTATGTAATTTTTAATAGTGATGGAAATTTGGACTTTGTATCTACAATTCCTAAGATTAAATTGAGCCATTTGACAGTGTTGTTACATCATAGTGCGATTCAGCTGATTTTATCGTCTGCTTCATTTAGACAGTTTGAAATAACCAAAGAATCTTTTACTTAAGTTTTAAGAAATAAAAAACAAAAAATTAATTTTTATAGAGTTGAAAGGACAATAAAAAAACAAATTTCACAAAACGTAATTTAATCATTTATTTTTTATAATTATTTTTAAATAAATTACTTCATAAGCTCAACATATAAGCAAAATTTTAATAATTCAAGACTTTCATTCATGCATTCATGCAAACTAGATACAATTTGAAGATTTAAATATCATATAAATGAAAAATTAAACTATTTTTAACCAAATATCACATATTTCAAACAAAAAAGAAAATTCTCTCATTATTAATAGTAACATTATTAAATATCAAATATAAACTAAAAATACTTTTATATCACTCTAAACATGTGCAGTTATAAATTGTATAATTTAAATTCACCCAACAAACAGATTAGAGCCGCGATAACGTGAAACATCAATATTATTTTAAATATCAGTAGTTTCCTTAAGTATTCTTGTTAGAAATTACTTTTCTTTACATATAAAAAATTTCTTACAACTGCTAAATGATTGTTGATGAAGTGATTTAAAAATTGCGCTGAAAAGAAAGAAATTTTAATTCTTTTAAATCACAGGTATAGAAAATTTAATAATTCAAATAATAAGTGATACTCACCTCTTCGTAGTCATCAAATCTTCTTGCATTGACTGGATAATAATCAACAATAAGTGGTCGAGGCCTTACTCCAATACCCGAAGGTTGTTGAAGTCCATGTGCTTGCTCTTGATTTGTTAAAACAGAAACAATTGTTTTAATAACTTGTTCATCCTGTTGTGAAAGTGTTTTATTTGGAAATTTCATTCTTCGTAAAAATAATGCATTCCACTTTTGTCTCAAATGTAAAATCAATTGCGCTGACTCAAGATCCAATTTAAAAACAACCCAATCGTCTAATTTCAAAATTGTCGTTCCCTCTTGTCCTTCCTCTACCTCTGAATCTGATTCACTTTCCGGCAATGCTAAAACACAATATAAGAAATATAAGAAATATTTAATAGAGAATAGAAATAAAAAAAAAGATGTCTTACTTTCAGCTTCATTAATCACGTCCATTGGTAATCTTGCAGGACCACTGAATAAAACAACACTTATTGGATTGACTAAAGTAACAGTTCGAACATGACAAAAACGACCGGTACGACTCATCTCTTCATAAATCATCCAATCACATGGTAGAGATTCGACAATTGCAGATCGTGCTTGTGCTGAAGTTGTTCTTGGCGATCGGGGAAAATCACCAACAGTCGACGAGGGATGTAAATAAACTTTAACCTCTTTTCTGAAATTTGAGGGAAAATTCAATATAATCACTATCACCATGAAACTATTAATTTAAATGATATTGATATGATACTATTAATTAGTGATCAAAACATACTGTGTTCGCATTTGAAAATGTTCCCTGTCAACGCGAATGATATTTGGATAAAGACCAGCGGTTAAAGCAGCTTTAACAACAGCCCAATTCTCCGAATTAGTATTTAAATCACGAATATCACCAGGACCTCTGGCTCTCACAAATCCCGATGCTCTTAATTGTCCAAGAAGTTGTGTTCGCATACCAACTACCATTTCCATAACAGCCGATGAGATAAAATGCTTTTCGCAAAATATCCTTTCCCATCCATTCGCTCTAGCGTTCTGCCAATTTTGAAAGGCTCTCAACACTGCCATGTGATCTGAATATGTACCTGCTGCAAATTTTTTCCTAGCCAATAATGCAGCCCGCTTTTGCGACGGTTGATTAGGAAGAATGAATGGATCCCTTCGAAAGAGATTTCAAAATCTATTTAGTAAAATTCTCTTAAAAGAACAAAAAAAAACACACACACAAAAAAAAGAGTTAAAATAAAAGAATGTAATAAAAATGACATACTTATAAGCCAAACTGCAAACAATGGTAAGAATCGGATCCAAACATTTGAGAACAACAGCGTAAAGTAACATTTTCCCAAGACGTGGTTCAACAGGCAAATCAAGTAAATGACTGCCCAATTCCGTTAAATCTTCCCATGGATCTAATGCGTCGATTGTTTTCAATAATTGCACTGCATTTCTTGTTACAACATTTGACGGTGGTTCCAATGCTCTCTCGAGAAATTCAGCAATTGGTGTATTTGGCGGAGCTAAATGTTTTGTAAATAAACACAATTCTTGAAGTGGCAATCTTAAAATCTCCGGCGTCTGATTTGGCAGCATATTATTATAACGAATCGATGAAAAAAGACGATAGCAGATACCTTTCTGACATCTTCCAGCTCGTCCTTTACGCTGCTTTGCACATGCTTGTGAAATCCAATTTGATCTCAACATACAAACACCTGATATTGCATCAAACGATTTCTCCTTAACTTTACCCGAATCAATAACATAGACAATATCATCAATAGTGATACTTGTCTCTGCAATATTTGTCGAAAGAATAATTTTTCTACAACCTTGAGCTGCGGGTTTAAAGACTTTTTTCTGATCGTTAGTTTGCATATTCGAATGGAGAATAAATAATATAATACGAAGACCTTGATTTAATTTTGCTTCGCTGTTAATTTTATCCCGCATTGTTACAATATCATCGTAACCTGGTAGAAATATGAGTATTGAACCTTGAGGCATTTTTAAATGAATATGCGAAACGAGGGCTAATATTAGATTATAATCAATATTTTCATCGTTGAATGAATGATGATAAATATCGAGTAACATTTTATCTTCCATTGATAGTGAAACGTCCTTTTGTAATGTTTCATTCTCCTGTTGATAACAATCATATGTCTTCATATACGCCTCAATTAATTCAGCGCATTCTGTTTGTTTCATCATTTTAGCCCAATCGAGAGCCGTCCATTCGTTGCTGGCTCGAATTTTCAAATTTGCCCCAAGATTCAAAAGTTGTTCGGTTGTATTCAAACAACCACGACCTGCGGCAACCATTAATGGAGTCACCGATGTCATTGTATGCTGATAATCAACAGACACATTCTCCGAGAGAATAAGATGTAAAAGTTGTGTGAATTGATCATCGCCGCCTTGTAACCATGCATCGGAAATTGCCTTATCCATTTCTTCCTTAAGCCATGGTTCGAGTTCCACTTTTTCCGGTATTGGTTCACCCTGTTTTCCTGATATTGGCAATGGTAATACAGCTCTTGCATTCGATGCTCCGGCTTCAGTGTTCTGTGGCATTTTTTGTGTCCACAAATCCAATACTTTTTGTTGATCTTTTTTTGTCATTAACTCCTTCTTTTTAATGAGCATCTCCTTTGACATGTAACCAGTTGTTTTTAAAATATCCTCAAGGAAATATGTATCAACATCAAACATTCTCCCGGGAACATTAATTACCATACAATTATTAAAATATTTTGTGAATATATTAACATCAAGTGTCGCGCTCATTAAAATCAATTTTAATGAACGATATTTCACTAGTGCATCTTTCAATGTAATAAGAAGAAAATCACAAAATCTATCACGTTCATGAATCTCATCAACGATTATATGTGTGATCACAGTTAACGCTGAATCACCGCCCATTAATGTTCGAAGTAGAACTCCATTTGTACAATAAGTGAGTAATGTTTTTGGCGCAACACGACTTTCTAAACGAATTTGATAACCAAATGTTTGTCCAATTTTTTCATCTCTCTCAAATGCAACTCGTTCGGCAACTGATACTGCCGATAATCTTCTTGGTTGAGTGCAAATTATTCGACAACTTTGATTTTTCTGTTGACAATTGTCCAAAATATATTGTGGTATTTGTGTTGTTTTACCACAACCAGTTTCACCAGATATTACAACAACTTGATTTGTATTAATTGCACGAAGAATTTCATTTTTTTTTGAATGAACTGTTAATGAATTACGAAAATTGACAACTTCCATATTTGTTCGTAAATGTGGAACTTGTGGAATACTGTTATTTAATCGGCCTAACATTTTCGTTGTTATATCTTTACCTAAAATAATAAAAGAATTATAATTGAGCTTTTTCAAATTTTCAATTAATTACTTACTCTCGGAATCTACGGTTCGTTCCCTTTCAGTTGGTGGTAATAAATCACGACGTTCTTTATTATCTAGTGGAAACTTATTAATTAAACTATAAATTCCTTGTTTCGAAGTTTTCTGTAATTTTATTACAGCATCAGCTTGTACAATTGAAGAGCCTTCTCGTTTATAAACTGTCAAGAATCGATTGGCTCCTTTTCTAAAAAAAAAATCAAATTATATAAATCTATGGATAATTTAAAAAAATGATTATAAAATTCTTTTTTCAAATTTCTCCAACTTACCCTCGACTTTTTGACTTTAATCCAAGATCTTTGGCAAGTTCATGAATATATGCTCTTTCCTCAGCTGTGTACGATGAGGGAAATTCCAATTCTTTTTGATCCGAATTATTTAAAAGTTTTTTTATTGTTAAATTCACAGCTATTCTTGTGTCTTCGCCGATATTACGGCGTCTCTGATTTTTTCGTCGAGACATATCGAAAGTCTAAAATAGAAAATAGCTTAATTAATTAAATTGCAATAATTAAGTAAAATAATAAACTAAAGTTGTTTACATAACCTATATATTGAAAATAGTGTTTTGTGATATTTAATCAAATAAACTTTGTGTCAAATTGAGTTGTTTTTTTGTAATAGAATCATCATATCAAAATTATTTTAGATTCAAAAATTTGTTACATTTAACCAATATTTTTCTGTCTTTAAACAGTTATCCAAACAAAAAATTAGAATTATTTTTTCTAGATTTGCATCTTTATTTAAAATTTGAAAAACTACTCACCAGTTATTAAACATCAGTCAAAGTTTCACATGTAATTTTACAGACAAATAGAAATTGATTATTGTGTTATTCTATTGTTCCAAAAGTTTTAATTTGTATTCTTTTTAAAGAAAAAACAAATTTTTTTGTACTCATCTGTCAAGAATGGTATGTACATAAACTAGTACCGAAAGAGCAATCGCGCAGAAGGTAAAACAGGTTTGCGCCTCCTGATGACAAGAAGTAGAAATACATTCAAAATACAATTTTTTTTTCTTTAAGATTGAAATTGTTCATATAAAAATTTTAAAATGTATATTTCTGATAAAATAACATTCTATGTATTTGTTTTAAAAAAAATGTCCTTTTTTTTTGTTGAAAAATAAGATTTTAAGAGAGGGGATATTGATATTAATAAAATTTGTAATTCGTAAATGACTTTATTTATTCATTATCAAACACAGCGTGCTGAATTGTTAATAATAATTTGACATTTACAGAATATTTTGACTTTTTAACATTTTATTAATACTAAATTATTTGTAATTTAACAATTTTCATTAATTATTATTTTAATAACAGAGTTGTTGGTAAATTGAATCAACTTTATACAAACTAAATTCTCAATCATGTAGTATTTTAAAAATAGTCATCACTATATAATATGTAATAATCAAGTACAAAAATAATGTAAAATTGCAATTTGAAATGTTTTAACAAATGCAAATTGTAAATTTTCCATTGGAATGGTTTAAACACATCAGTCACTTCAAAATTAAGTTTAAAATTTAAAGGATTGATTGAGTTGATTGACAAATTATTTAAAGAAACTCAAAGTTTATAATATAATATGTATATAACAATCTCTCTAAATCTGAATTAGTGAAAAGTGTGCTACTAATTTAAATTAGTTTTCACTAATTTTTAGTCACTTTTTACTAAAACTTTAATAAAAATATTAAAAACTACTAAATCAAATAGTAATATATTACTAAAAATTAGTAAAAATTTTTACTAATATGAATCAGTAGCTCACTTTTCACTAATTCAAATTTAAAGTATAGTTTTCACAAATTCGTAAGGTTCAAAATTCATTTATCTCTAAATTGTATATTTCTCGAAATGGAGGAAAAATTATTTATAATATTAACAACAATTGGGGGGGAGACAATTTTTTTTCTTATGAATTATTCATTATATAGTATCTAAAAATGGAACCTTACGAATTCGTGGATACACAAGTAATTGCCTTAAGATCTATTTTATTTTTAATTATAATTAATAAATTCTGTAAGTCTCTGGTGTGTTGAAAATGGATTAAGGAAAGATTTGAAAACGGACACAAAGTTTGAAAATATATAAGTTCGTTCAGCGAAAGGTGGCTGAATATTATGTACACTTATAAGTACTATATTCGTCTCTTGAAACATTTTTTTTTTAAATATTAAATTTTTCAAATTAACATTTATTTAATTATACTCTTTTATATATAACTAAACCTTCAAATTTAAGCTAAAAATTAATTTTATTTAATTTAAATTTGAAAATTTAATTAAAGAAAAGTTAAATGAGTTTGAAAAATTTAATATTATAATTGAAATTGTTTTCAATTGTATATATGTGTCTTTGAAATGACCCACTTCACATTGATTCTATTTTGTCTTAATAAGAACAAACCACATTTGAAAAGTTAACGCACTGAAAACAGTGATTTATTTCTGTCAAATAATTAATTATTAAAGTGAAATAAATTTTTTTTTCAGTGTCGTTAGGAATTGAAGTTTATGGAAACTGATAAGTACATATAGATATATTTTGCAGAAGAATTTAAAAAAATAGTTTTTTTTTTAAAGATTTTGCACCATTTAATGAAAGAATTTATTATGAATAGATTAATAAAAAAAAATTTTAAACTAATGAAACATTTAATAATTTCTTTCAATTTTACAAAATAAAATTTAAATCCTTAAAATATGTTATTTATAAAGAATTTAGACTATATAAAAAAGAATTTAATTTTGTTAGAAATCAACTGTTTTTTTTTAAATTATTTAATTTCGTTTAATTATTTAAATAAAGTTTGGAAATTGAAATTTTCTTCAAAGAATACATTTACTCGTTTTGTTAGTTAAGAATTGAAAGATATTTTAAAAGAATAAAATAATAATAATAATAGTAATAATCATAATAATAATGCAGAGAGTAGATGGTTTTTCATTCAGTAATGAAACTTTCGTTTATTCTGCAACTGACGTTGTCCGATGTATGCGTCCATATCATCAGCAATCTTCATCTGCATCATTCATGATGTGAATTTTATACTTATTTTCTAACACCTTTATCTTCACAGCATCCGGATGACAAATAAAAACGACAAAATTGAAGACATAAAGGTGAAAACAATATTTGAAGAGAAAGAAGATGGTGCAGCATTAGGTACTGATATAAACTTCAATTTATCCATAAGAGTTTTTGGTATATCGAGATAAACTTTATTAACTCCTATATCCAAAATCAGTTGCGAGAGTTTTTCTTCATTGACGAAATCACCATCTTTGGACCAAATCGTCAATTTTAGATCAGTATTTTTTTTCATAAATGTTTTTATTACTTCGATATCATTTACTGCTAAAGCTGCTCTCACTGAGATGATCACATTTGTCATATTATTTGTTTTAATTTTGTTGATTTGTTCCAACATTTTATCAAACATTTCTGGTGTATATTTTATATCACCATAGGTTTTGTCTATGTTTCCTTCTCTAAAATCATTGAAAAAAATCGTGAGAATTAATTGCTTTTTCATAAATTATCTCATTTTTTAATTTCTTTATCTTAAAGTTTTTTAAAAGAATCTTTTTCATGCATTAAAAAAAAATTAACGTCATGACATATCTTTTGATCATTACGTCACTATTAAGAGTTTTTATTCCTCAAATTTGATCTGTATTGACTTTTAAATACATACAATTATATTAATAAATTATATATTTGATTTATCAACTTACATAGAGGTCCATCCAAGAGATATGACAAAATTAGAAGCACCATTTAGTTTTTCAATTAATTTTGTAGGATCTACGACTTCGGGTAGCACATCAGCTGGCTTAAATGGTCCTTTAAATACATCCGCATGGATCCAAACTTGCCCAACCAACTGTGCGAAAATAATCATTATTAAAATTGCAAATCAATTAGAATTTTTTTACTATTCCTATTATTCCTATTGTTTTAGCATCAAATCTTTTTTTTTTTAGATATTAAACAAATTTTTCAAAAAAGCACAACTTACTTTAGTATCATAGGCCTTGACAATTGCGATACTTTTATTAAAAATATCATTAGTTTTGAAGTACAGTTTCGCACCCTTTTGTTTTTCTTCAACTTTTTTGAGGAAATCATCAAGTTTTAAATCGCCCTTATCTGTAGTGTTTTCAATAGATGGAACATTACCATCTGCTTTTATGTAAACGTTAGCTTTCAGCATCATAACTTTACCTGTTTAAAAAGAAATTTTTAATCCTGAGAATCACAAAATCGATGAGAAAGAGAGGCTTTAAAAGAGACTATAAAGAAGGTGGCATTTTTTAAAATTGCATAGTCTTTCTTTGTCAGTTTTTAGTGCGCAAGTCTATAATCATTAGTGAACCAAATTTTTATAAGATCGATGCTCTTCTTCTCAACAATATCGACAAAAAATTGATATCGTCATTTAACTTGTTTGTAATTCAAAAAAAAAATATATATATAAAACAAAAATTGATATTTTGCAAGAATTATTTAATTTACAATACCCCCATCACTAAAACTCAACAGAAATCGAATAGTTTTCAACTGTATATCTACTTTAAAATGTTAAGCCTCCTGTTTCATATTGAAGCCTCACTTTGCGGAAACATGTAATAAAGATGTTAAAAGCAACCATAAAAATGCACGTAGAGACGACAATAAAGGAGAAAATGGGATTAGGGATCATCTGTCTGTGGAAAATTTGTCTTTTAATTCTGTCATTTTTATGGTGATTCTTTTTTTTGTTTTTTTAAATAAGAAAAAAGTGAATATTGAAATAGAAAATTTATTTTATTATTATATAACTATGAAACAAGAAAGTTCATTAAAATGTTTAAACTATTTCTATGATCTCTCGCAAACAAGAGTCATTTCAATGAACATTTTAACTAAATTATAATTTTCATTTGAATCTTCTCAACTGAAATCGTAATTAGCCAATTAATTATTTATTTGGAAAATAATTAAATGCTTTCAAAAAATATATAGAATAAAATTTCCATTTGCAAACTTAATAAAATTTTTCACCAGTCTTTTAAATTGTCTATAAAAAAAAAATGAAAATTTTATAATTGCGTAAAAAAAATAATTACGGAATAAAATTGACATCAAAATTATAAACGATGTTGAGTCGAGATTCATTGGATAATATATAAATATAAGAGTATTTTATACATTGAAAAATATAAATTCGTTTGTCAATTATAGTTTTTTTTTAAGAAAATAGGTTTCGTGAAAGTGCACCTTATTATCATTGTTTATATATATATATTTTTTTTTAAATTTCTGCGCGTGCCGTATAAAAACCATTTTCATATAGGTATCGTCAAGGGTAACTTGAGAAGACCATGTGGAGCACACGGGTCGAGGTCGCTATCGATTGTCGTTGAAGATGGTACCAGTGACGGGAGTCTGCTAAAGACTTGACCAAGATTAAAATGTTACTTTTTAAAATGTGAACCTTTTTTTTTATACATCATCAGACTTTTTTCTTCTTTCCAATATTTTAAAACAAATTTTAAACTTTTTTTTGATCATTTAATTTTTTATTGAAGAAAAAGAGGAGGGAAAAATTAAAACTATATTAAATAAAATTATTAAATAAAAAGAAAATTAGAGAAAATAATAAATAAATAATAATGATATTTATTATATAAAATATAGAAAAATATTTATATAATAATAAAAAATTGTTGTATATTGAAGTTAAAAATAAGTGTTTTTGAGTTTATAAAACGTATATTTTTTATAACTAAAGTACAAAACTGAATGATCAGAAACAATTATAGGAATTTAACATGGTTGAAAAAATTTTATAATCCCAGTTGAATGTCAGAAAAAGAAGATTTAAACAAATTTCTATAAATAGAGGGTTGAGAGCAAAAAGGTATATAGTTATCGACAGAAAACCGATAACAACCATCCACCTGTTTTTTTATTGTTACGTAATTCACGTCAGATTATTTAGGGTTTTGTATATTAATTTCATCAAGTAAAATCAGTCAACCATCATTTTTTTCAGTTATTAGACAAAAAAAAGTAATAATAATGATAATATATTATTTAGAAAGAAAATACTCACTATCATTCGCTGCAGCAATTAATTCTGTATTATTTTTTATAAGTTTCCACGTAACCAATGTACTGTTATTTATGACTGATGGAAAAAGTTCTTCAATTGTCTTAGATTTGGCAAATTCTGTGAAAAGAAAATATTTATGATTTAATTACTGAGAATTGAGATGATTCGACCTCTATAATCGAAATTTTTTTCTACATTCTACAAATGAATGATAAAATTTTATTTTATAACAATACAATTCTTTGTATATAAAAAATTGTTTTCTTTCTTAATCTATTTATACTTTTTTTGAACATAAAAATTTGAATTAAATATCTTCTTAAAAAAAATTGAAATAAAATATATCTGGGACCTAAGAATATTTTCGGTCGATTGAACAAAAAAATTCGTGTTTACTATGAATGATATCTATATTCAAATAACGCCTACAAAGTTTTATCTCGAGAAAGAATTTCGTTATAAACTTAATATACAGAAGGAATCTGTTTCACGCAAAGCTGCACATAATATTCACTTGAGGTTGAATTTACCGGTATGAGAATCACAGGTACGTGTCAAACTGACCTCGGTCAAATGATGAACACACCAAAGGAATCTAATTGACAGACAATCGATCGATTGTTCAGGGAGCAATGTATTCTTTTTATGTCTATTTATAGAATTTACAAAATTCTTTAAAATAAAAAGAAGAAAATTTTAACAAACAATTTTCAACAATCAATGTTACTTTAGAGTAGATACGGTATTTTTAAACTTATTTATAAACTACATAAAATAAATAAAATTCATTTTTTACAATTGTAATTGATAATGTCTATATTAGGTAATGAATTTGCAAAATCTAGGACTACAATGCCAATGTGAAATTCTATTTTTAGATGAAATATATTCGGATTTCGGTGTTCTATATAGTTATATCTATATAGCACAACATTGACCTCTTTTCTGATAAAGTTTATGCCTTTAGTCCCGAGGCAAATAATTTTCAGATTAAAAAGGACCATTTTTATTTTTTACAATTATTATAATAAACCTTTTTCTATATTAATCATCGCGTTCAAGTACAGTTAACAAAATATATGTGTTCACTAACCATATAAATTAAATATTGATTACCACTATTTCCTATAATAACTCTTTGAAACAAACGTTCAATTTGTTCTACTGAAGCGTATATATAATTTACCCAAGTTTGTTAAAAAAAAAGGAATTTTTTTCCATTAAAAAAAACTTTTGACACATTACGAATGAATTACTTTTGTTTTTGACAATGAATTTGATAGGTCAATTTATGCGCGAATTCACATTTGTATGATAAAACAAAAATTGAAAAATTTATAATTAAATCTTAATAAATACCGTATCTACCAGATACGGTCAATTTTTTTTCAAAAAACGAATCAGAATTATTTTTCCTGAGTTATTTTTCTATCTGATCGGAATGTCTGAACTTTTATTTATTAATTAATTTTTTTTTAACAATGACGTTAAATTTAATTAACCTTTAAAGAAAATAGTTTCTTAGGTTCAAGAAGCGTAAATGAATTCTCTTTCCAGAGTGTTATAGTGGCTAAATTAATTAGCCAATTGGACGTGAAATTCACATGCTGTTCGTGTGTGAGTCATTTCTCACTCGGCGGCAATTGATAACTTTCTTTTGTAGGAAAATGTACAGGACATGGACTTCATTAGAGACAATTAAGTCCATCGATAATTCATTAACGTACAGAGTTACAATTACAAAAAAAAGAAAAACTAAACATAAAACAATATTTGTCAAAAAAGTGGAATTTATTATTTCATTTTATCCCTAACAGATATCTCTGAGACATCCTATGGATATCCTGCTTTCCTGTTAACCCTAGGATATCTTAAATATCCAGAATTCTCGTATTACTGATAAAAATCACATTTTCAAAAACTTAAAAGTAATTGAAAATAATTTTTTTTTTTTTTTGAAAATTATAACATGATATTATTTTGTACTTTAGAGAAAAATTGAGAGACTTTATAAACAAATAGGTCAAGAGAGAATATTAATAAAAAAAAGAGTATCCTTGGTTGTTATACAGGTTCAAGTGATTTTCTCCACAGATTTTATAAATATAAAGAATGTCTAGAAAAATGCATAGCGCTTTTTTTTTTTTTTTTTTTTTGTTGAGTCTGGCTTATTACCAACATCTGGTGTGAATTCATTCATCGAGTGGTTTAGAGAGTTTCTAACGAAGGGGAGAACCAGAGCGAACAGATTTGTATAGCATATATAAAATTTGAGTTAGTTAAAGGGAGAGAGGACAAAATAATTATAATTTATTTTATAATTTTATAATTATAATATCTAACGAACGAAAAATTGAATTTTTTTTTTAAATTAATCAACGTTTTGTTTAAATAAATAAACTCGTAAACTTCAAAGTAGTAACTTTCAAAGTAGTAAAAACGAAGTTTTTTTTCTGATGTTTTTAAAAAATTTACAATTTTTATTTTGCGATTATCAGCCTACTACCTTTTGTGCGCATTATCTTATGCAAATAGTATAACATATATATGTATATATTGATATTTTTTTTCGTTTTTTTCCCCATGAATATATTGTTAGACAAATTGTCGATTGTCAGACTTGTGTTGTAAAATAAAAATTGAGTGACATTTTTTTTATTTAATTTTTTTCTCCAGTTTCACATTGAATCAGAAGGATTTATATATATATCTTCGATTTGAAATAGTGCGCGATTACGGAATATTCCTTTGAGTCAAAGAAAAAAATGTTTACTTTCGCACTATTTTTGTTTAGCTTTGTACTCGCATTACGTACGCCAATACGAACACGATGCAAATCTATTTTTGTCAAGGAATGATGAAACTAGAGGGATGCAATTTTTATCAAGGTATAAAATTTTTATGTACAGGTATGTACATAAAAAACGAAAATGAAATTATGAGAACGTTTATCTTTTTTTTTTTTGTCGCATAAAAGAAATGATATCTTACAAATTTTTCAAGAAAGTCGTGACTATTTTTTTTTTGTTAGAAAACAATTTTTTTACATTATTTTTGTATAAAATATTTTTTTCCCAATGGAATAAAACCAAAATTAAATTAAATAATTTCATTTAAATTTAAATTATAAATTTTTGTGAATTATAAAATAAAATTTATTAGAATCTATTGTTTTTCAATTTATATTCAACAAAAATAAAAAACGATATATTTAATTTTATAATAATAAAAAAAAATATATTAAATTAATAAAATGAAGATTAATTAATTTAGGAAAATTAAAATTTTTTTTTACTTCAATTTCAATTTTTTCATACGATAAAAATTTAATTCAGTAATTTATTTGAGTTCCCACTTTAGAACATTGATTCTTGCAGTTTCCTTATATTTTATTCATAAAATCATATAAAATTTATGACATTAAGAACTGTCTCGCAAATTTATTGGGTCAACCACCTTTGGATCAACTGGTATAAATGAATTATATATATATAGTGAGATTATACATTTCAAAAAAGTAAATTAATTTCTTTCATTAATGTTATAATTTATGATAATATTTTAGTTGAATAATATAATTCAAAATATTTCCAAAATAATTTTCTAGTATCTATACATATATTTTTTGAAACTTGAAAAAATTAATTTTTACTTTATATGTGTCTGCAGTCTGAAATATTCAATATTTAAACACCATTGTCTTTCATTCAGTATACGAAAAAAGGTATAAACATGTCTTTATCTTCCGGTAAAATACACATATGTATACAATATAACCCACGTGTTGTGAATGAAATAAGTTTTAAAAAAAATAATTTTCAACCCACGCATCGAAAAATTCATCTCGCGCATACAAAACACACCACCATTTCTCAGAAATTAATAATCAACGAAAAGAAGAATCATTATAAAGAAAAAAAAATCCATCAATTCAGCTTTTTCGGCTGGAAATTATTCTTATCTGGGTCAGAAGGGCATGAGCAATATAACCAACGAATCAATTACAAACCAAAAGACTGAAAAATATTCAAAAATAACAAGAAATCCATTTTTTTTTTTTGAGAAATTAATATACATTAAACAAAATTAATTATCAATAATTGAAGTTAAAATTAATTAAACTTTTATTATTCATTAAACTTAATAAGAGATGAATAACAAAAATAATTGTTGTTCGATAAATTTTGATTACTAAATCACTGAAGCTACCAAAAATTGAAGCTAACCAGCATTTTGTTAAACTTTTGCATTAAAAAATTAATTATAAACAAATAAAAATGTAATAATAATATTAATTTATGAATAAGGTTTTTTTTGATCTTATATAAATATAACAATTTTTTTAATTCAAAAAAACTAACTAATTTTAATAAAATTTAATAAATTCTATACAAAATTAATATTTTATCAATTTAATATTCTGCTAAAGTAATATCTTTTCAAGGATTCAGTTTTTTTAAACATGCCTTTTTATTTCTTTAAAATTTTTAACATTTATTAAATTTTAATAAATTATTATTTAAACAAATATAAGAAATTTAAAACTAATACCGTAATTTTCTATTAAAAAAATTATTTATTTAAAAAATTTGATCTAAAATAATTAAATTAATAATTGTTTAAATGTACATCTTTAATAGTAATTGTATCAAAAAAAGATAAAAATAATTTTTTAAAATCATTTTGCAATTGTTATATTAAATATAACATTAGTTATAGTTCTTATAACTAATGATAGTAATTTTTCAAAAAAATTTTTAAAAATAGTTAAATTTAAACAAAAATTTGTCGTTAATTTTTACTTTGAAATAAAACACTTACCAATCACTGCTAAACTAGTGAATATCAGTAATATGATTCGCGCCATGATTTTGAATTTTGGGTTTAACAATATATGTATATATAGATTTATATATATATATATTGCGGAAAAAGGAACACGTTTAACTCGAGAGTAGAGAGTCGACTGAGGATTGAGGAACTGATACTGACTAAACTGCTGGTTACTTCCTGGCTTAATATAGATATATATAGTAAACGGAGACTGCGCGCGACAATGAAGGTATTGTTTAATAATCATTGAAGTATATTTGAATGATATCTTCATTTACGAAAATTATTATTCTAAATATAATTTAATTTATTTGCAATAAAGATTATTTGTTTCGAGTAAATAATTTTATTAATAATGTAAAATTATTTTTGCAAAAAAAAAAGAAAATTTTTTTTTGTTTAGTGTATAGAATTTTATTTGAGCGGTAATTTCAAAATTAACCAATCAAAAATTCTTTTACATTCGCGCTGAAATAATTCTGTCATATGCAAATTATTATTATTAAATATTTTGCCATATGGATCCATTTTTTATTTTTAGAAACTGATTTCATATTCGTAATATGAAATTGATTACTAAATATTAAATGTTAAGGTAAATAAACATAATATAAACAATTGGTCTTGTATTATATTAAATTAAATTCACAAGTAGTAAAAATAACATATTTTTTTTTATTTTAAATAAACAAAGTATAAAATCCGATTTCTATATTTCTCTGTAATACATTTTTTTGTGTCGAAACAATTGATTTATTATGATATACGACAATCATTTTTTTACAATAATTCGATGGGAAAAATTTCAAAAATTATAATAGTAATTAAATGTTGTGCAGAAATTAGAAATAATAATTCTTATTAACAGAGAGATGATATATATATATTTTTTAATGATTTTGAAGATATAAACTTTTTATTCATTCTAATTAATTATTATGAATTTTTTTAAAATACTTTTTCAAATTTTTTAAAATCTCGGGTTCTTTCTTTAAATTCCGTTTTTGTAGCAAAATATTTATTCATAGATAAAAAATATTTCAAACTCTAAAATTAACAACTATATTTTACAATAAGCTTATTTTATTAGAGTTTTTATGATCTAATAAATGGCATGGCACAGTGTGTGTAAGGACGAATTTTTTTTTTTTTATTTGTTCATGATTTGTGTTTCATAAATTATTTTTAATCTTTTTACTAAATGTGATGCATAAATATTTTTCAATTTTCATTTAAATATTATAAACATTTGAGATGAAAAAAAAAATTCAATAAGTTGAGAAAATAGTTTTTGGAAATTAAAAAATGAAAAAAAAATTTAAAGAAAACAAAAATTGAAGAATATTCATGCATTATTTGAATGGTGAACCTTATAATCAAATTGTATAATAGAATTTCCAATAGAATTAAAATATAATAATAATAATTGAAAAACAAATTCTTAGATTAATTGCATTACAATATTATAGAGGTTCTCGTAATAACTTACTACTTATTCTATAATGAGCTTGGATTTTCATTATTCGTTGGTTTAATTGTTAATTTAAAATTTAAATCTTACTTAGATTATTTTTTGTTGCAGTCATTGAAATTAGGTAACTATATTGTCACGTCATTCGTAAATATTGACGATTGTTCTCATTGTCTCAAATAGTTTTGCACAACTTTTAGTGAAGACTGAAGGCAATGTTGGTCCCTTAAAAATATTTTTGTCTTTGAAATCTGGCCATTTCGAATTCTACAAAAAAGATTATTTTTTTTTTTCATATTCTATTTTTTATAAACTTTAGAAAATATTTTCTCTTTAAACAAAGTATTATTTTAACTATACAAAATTCTATTCTAAATTCTAAAAAATGCTTTCTTAAAATTTTAAAATATTTTCTTAAATTTTTAATAATTATCTCTTAAATTAAAAATTTTTCTTAAGTTTTACCGAGTATTCTTTTAAATTTTGCAGTGTTCTAAAAAAAATCTTCTTTAATTTTCGATTTTATTACAAAATTTTTTTTTCTTACCTAAATTTACCAAATGTTGTCTTTAATCCTAATTTTGAATGGCCGGATAATGATAAAATATTTTTTTACAAAATAGAAAAAGTGTATTTTTGAAACCTTTCAGTAAAGAAATTTTTTTTTATGTAATACAAATTTCTTAAAAGAAAGTTTTTCATTTAAATATAGTTGTGTAAAAAAAAATTTTGGCACTTTAATATCAGTATTCACTATAATCATTTTACAGTTTAACAATCTATAAAAAAAACATTCAAAAATGTGTTTAAAAATATTTTCTTTCATCACAGTCTTGGCATAGATTTGTTCAAAAAAATAAAAAAAATAAAAACCCTTTCAACAGGAAAATTTCTTTTCTTTCATCGGCAAATTATTATCACTTAAATATTAATTTCATTGAATGCCTTTTCTTAAAGGTGAGCCATTAAAAAATATTTTCTCACTTTCTGACGTAAAAAAAAAAATCTACAATTTCGGATATAAACGTCGATCGCTTTTTATTTGAGGATCTTCATTATCAGTTTTATCCATATAAACCAGCTCTGCTTTTCTATTTGGATATGTAACTGACATTCTTGTCGAGGACTCCTATAAAAAAAAATTTTAATTACATTCGAATAAAATTTAATAGCAAAAATTAAATTTTTAAACATACCGAAGAGCCTGTCTTTCCATGATGGCAATAGCACAGAATCGCAGTGCCCAAAATGAATAAAGATCCAATGAATAAAAGTCCTATACTACCATAATGCATTAAACTAGGTGTCATGACTAACATTTTCATTTGACAAGTCATGTCGTCAGGGAGGCCAGCCCTTAAACTGAACCAAAATACTGGAAAGTATATCGTAGGAACATCTTTCAAGAATCTGAAAACACAATTTTTTTTATCTTATTGTTAATAATAATTATTTAAAAAAAAAATTTGGAAACAAAAATCAAACTCACGATGCAAACTTAGATGGCTGCAACAAAATATTGATCTGTAATCTTGCTGCTACATCTATAGGGATTCCTGAAGTCTGAAAAGAGTACAGATAATTTTATTTTTTATACTTTTGCAAAAATTGCGATTTTTTTAAAAACCGATTTCTATTTCGATCCAATGAAATTTTCCATTTAATGAAAATTCAGCTAAATGAAATTTTGGAGAAATAGAAATTTCGTCATTTTAACAAATGCAATGATCAAAAAATTTTGTTTAAATAAAAATTCGACTAAATAGAAATGATTGTATTCTTACAGGTTCTAAAGTAATGTAAAAATTGTGTTCATCATCTTTGGGATTCATTCCAATAACTCGATCCCTTAAAATCGGATCGGCTTTATGAAAATGAGGTAGACTAACGAATGCAGGTGCACCATAACGACATGCAGTAATATTCATGAGACCCATTGGACTACAATCGCCATTACAAAAGCATTGACCAATGTTCACCACATCTGGATCCTCGTCATTTTCAATTGATTGCGAGGTGGGTTCAGCTGAAAAAAAATCCTCCGTGGTTGTTGTTGGTTCAAAGTATCTCGCCTGCTCGTGAGGATAACGCTTTTTAGTATCGTTATTCAGTGTTTTATGATCAAGCGTAAATTGATATCCCTGGATACCTTTGTGAGTGACTTCTCGTTTAAATTCGTACGTCAGAGGTCTGCAAAAAAAAAAATCATTTCCAATAAAATCCTAAAAAAAATGGAAGTAAAAATAAAAAACAATTAAATTAATAATTGTAATTATTAGTTTAAATTAATAAAAAAAAAATCACCTGCATAAATCCGCGCTGAATAAACTAATATCATCCCTTCGGAAAGGTGATGAAAAATCACCAAAATTTCGAAGTGGTGGCCAAAATTCTCCGCCACTTCCTTCAACGGTATTGCAAGGAACTTTGTAAAATTTCATAGTGTCTTTGTAATTCCATCGTCTTGCCACTCCTATTTTTGAAAAGTCTCTCTCTCCCGTTTCCATATTCATGTGACCCTCAAATAGTGTCGATCCATTTCTCTATAAATTTTAATTTTTTTTATTATTCTATAATTTCAAACGTCAAAAAAAAAAAAAAAATTAAGAAAATATAATTTAAATTTTTTCATAAAAAAGGAAAAAAAGAAAAAAGCGAGATCTAATATTACAATTGCAACTTTATATTGTTCATTCTTGATGTGTCGATTGCTTTTCATTCATAATTCGCTACACTATGTAGTTGAGTGACCTATTTCATTCACTAGCAATTCAGAGTAGTCTAGTTTTGTTGCAGACCTAATAGAGGAACTTGTCGAAGGGCTTATATATATGTCTAAACGCTTCCCAATTGAAATATTGTCTTTTATTAGTCCCACGATAATTTTTAATTAATCCTTGTCAATAAAATTGATCAAAAACCGCGATGAAACCGAAAGCTTACGAAAAAAAAATATTCTAGTTGAGCCTTTTTCGAAATTCATATTCGATAAAAATAATTTTGAAATTAATAAATAATAAAATAAAAGAAAAAAATATTTACCATATAAAACCATCCAAAACGATCGAAAGGAGGTGAATCATCACCCTCCATTGGTACTGTATTTTTTAATTGAATAAGATGATCCACATATCCTTTAAAAGTTAATTCATTCACTGTTTTGACATTATAAAGTTTCATATTCATTGTGTCCATAAGTTGCGCAAAAGCACCTTGATACATTGTTGGTAGAGTCAATACTTTTCGTGCAGCAGTCTAAAAAAAAAGATTGCAATTTACACTAAAAAAAACTTTAAAAAAATAATTTTCCAGTAAAACTATATTTTTTTTAAATTAAATATTATTTCAGTACCCATAAAAATAATAATTTAATATTCGCGAAAATTTTTAATTGCAAAAAAAGGTTGATAATTTTATTCTTCTTTTTTTTGTATATTTTAAATTATATTCCTATTCATAAAAAAATACTTTTTTCTTTCAAAATATTTGACGTTTACAAAGAAAAAAAAACAATTTATTTTTTATCACAAAAAAATATTTTCCGTTAAAGATTTAATTTGCATTTTCATTTTTTTTCCGGCTATAATGAATTTAAATTTGTAATTTTTTTTTGCTTACAATGGCAACGACATTGAGTTGTACAATTATATCATCCAAAGATCCATTGCTCATCTTTTCGTCAAAACGCCAGAATTTTCTTTGAAAATAACTAACTGTTCCATTTTCTGGATGAAATGTTACATTCACCTTTTCTCTCACTTCACTGTAAAAGAAATACATTTTTTTTGTTTATTAATTTAGGATTTTTATTAGAATTATATAAATGAATTATTAAATTTTTTTTTGCCAATAATAATAAAGAATTGAGATTTTTAAACTTTTATCAAATTTCTGAGAAATTGAACTTATAAAGTATGTGCGAACAAAATAATTTGACTTTTTGACCCAATTATATATAGGGATTGAGATTGACGGGAAAATTGGTGACTAATCGTTTAGTAGATATATGTGAAACATTATATTACTGCACACTCCAATCGTAGTATTTTATATACTAAAAATATTTTAAAAATAATAAAAATTATTATTAAATAATAAATTCATTTTGTATAAATATTTGCTATACATTTGTTTATTTCTGACATGAATTTGTAATAATTTTACTTCCTTTTTTACATAATCTAAATTTTAAATACCTAACTAATTATTTAAAGCCGCTTCAATAATTTGTTATTTAATATTTAATTTAATTATTAAAATAAACATAATCGTAAACTAATAATAATAAATAATAATAATAATATGGAGAAGAACAATTTTTTTAAATGGAAAAATGTTTTGCTTTTCAAAGAAGCTAAAAATAAAAAAAAAAATGTTTAATATAAATAAGAAAGGCTTATCAATAAAATGATATAATACAGCATTCATTGAAACCTGCGAATCAGTTTATAAAATAATCTCGCTCGTGTAACTCAATTTATTAATGAACGTAATTATAATTAAGCAATTAATTATTAATTTAGAATTTAATAGATGCCTACGCACAAACGTCTAATCACATTCATTTTATTTTATGATTAAAATGTCAATTTAAAAAGGTTAACTCTTTATTCATTTATTACTAATCATTGATAGGTTCTTTATTAGCATATATATTTTTTTTTCTCCTGAATGTTTCTTTTATTTAATATCTGGGTCAATACTTATAAATTTTTGTAAATTTAATTAAAAAGTTTCCTTGTTTAATAAAACGAAAATTTTATATAAAAAAATTGTTTTTCATTTAATGAAAAATATGATTTTGTTCCTTGATTTTTAAAATGTATAATTGTTTAATTTCTACTTTATCTGTAATTATTGTACTATTATTATTGTTTTTATTTATTAAAAAAAGAAATACTCACAGAAAACTGTAAGGTCCTAATTGTACAAAATTTGGTTTTTTTTCATGATTTTCAATTTCTTCAGGATTGGTCCAATTAAAAAAATAAATTTTCAAATGCACTGGAAGCTTGCTTGAATTTTTCCAAATTTCATAAGCCTTTGATGTTGGTGATAAAGTGAGTTCCTAAAATAAAAAAAAATCGAATTAATTTAAAATTTAATTTATAAAAATTCAATAATTACTAAAATTATGAATTAAAAAAAAATAATTTATTTTATCAATAATAAATCAAGTGATTTTTTATTTCTTTCACCTTATGTAAAATATGATCCAAAATGAAAGGCCAATAAATTGAAAGAAATCCTCCGATGAGAATAAATATGAGTCCAGTTATTCCAAAAATGATGTTCTTGTTCGCCCAGGGTCTCATGATGATGGAGAGATCTCTGAACGAGCGAGTTGTCGTATCCTCAGCATGTGCACTCTGAACTGAGGCGTCTTCTTTCTTTAATCACCCTCTTACCCCTCAAGAATCCCGCCAGAATTCACTCGCCACAACTGTATACAAGATAAAACTATATATATCTTATCATATATTTATATGGACAATTATTATCAGTAAATTTCTTGGCCATGCAATTTTACTGCATTTTTTTTCAAAATAGAAATTTTTTTTTTTCATCTGCTTTTGCAAAATTTTCAACTATTTATGATAAAAAGATAATAAAATTCTGATATTTGAATTAAATGATAATTTTGTTAATTAAAAATTTGTGAAATAAAAATTTTTATCCACATTTAACGATGAATAATAATAATAGTAATAATATGTATTTAATATAATATGTAATATTTTAACAATGTAATGAATAAAAAAAATTATCTCCCCTTTTGAAAAGAATTACGAGCAACTAATGTGTAATTGGCGCGATTTAAGAGATTCTCTTCCTGTGCGTGCATTTGATGATTCATTTGAAAGAATGACTTCTACATATATAAGATAAAATTTATTATCTACCGTCTTTGAAACTCATGCAAAAAAATTCTTTATTAAAATTAAAAGAAAGTACCTATATTTCTTTTTTAAATCCTCAGATATTTTCAGAGTTCTACATAATCGCTGTGACTTATTAAAAAAAATAATTTAAACAATAATTGACAAAGTGAATAATAAATTGAAGAATAAATTTTTTCTTCAGTTATAATTAATAAAAATTAAATTTCAATTATTTTAATTCTCAAACTATTTAATTTTCTCAAAAAAATTTATTTTGTATTGGTTTTGTCACTTATGGATAATAAGAAACATTGTTTATATGATAATTAAGTTGATTAGTAAAAAAAAAAAAGATAATTTGAAATTGTCATAAAATTTATTTTTACGCGACAAGTTGAAAAGTACATTTTCTGTAAGTTTGCATATTGAAGTCTATCACAAAGCTAGTCAGTTTCAATAACAACATTTATTGCTTTAGGTTGATAGGTTAACGTTATAATTTATCAACTATACTATTTCATAAACAAAATGAACTCGTATTTTATATGAAAATAATTTCCTCATTAAAAAAAAGTGTTAATTTAAGTACCAATACTTTTTTTCATCATAAAATTAATTTTACTACATCTGGATTTTCTTTTTAAACTAAAAAAAAATTAATCTTCTTTTTTTCATAAAAATTAATTTTTTTATAAATATTGTGTCAATAAATTGATTCATTTATATAATATAAAGTGTATCACTCGCATGAAGATAAAAAAAAGAACACACACAAAAAAATGCATCACGATACATTGCATGATGCTAATTGATAAATTATTTTTCTTCATTTCTATAATGTCCGTGCAATTGAAAATGAAACTGTTTGTTAAATTTAACAATCACTTGTAAATGTGTCATTATGTTTATTTAAGAATTTTTAATTATCGTTCCTCCAAATAAAAGTACAATAAACATATGAGAAGAGAATTATGTAATTTTTCTGTAATTAAAATTTTGATTGGAACGAAGAAATAATTAAAAATTAATTCGAATTTCGATCTAACCGAATTTTTATAATGAATAATTTCCATTTAAAAAAATTTTTATTTAGCGCGTTTTGTATATGAAATGTAATAAAATATAGGAATTTCTATACAAAGAGTGCGTAATGCGCTAAAATTAAAAGAATTAATTTTTTCTCAAGTTTATGAATCAGTTATTACTTATCATCAATTTTGCACGTGGTAGTCGTTTCAAGAGTATATCTTGTATCATCAAAAATATTTGAGTCTTTATCAATGCACATTTTTTTTTTTTTGTTAAATCAGTAAAAAGAATTGTATTTCTTTAAATAATCCTAATAAAGATCAAGAGATTAATTTTTTCGCCACTGTAATATTTCATTTATTAATGAAACTTGTAATATGTAATTAATAATCAGACATTTTAAAACTATTATCTCAGAAAAAAATATGTATTCCATATTCATAATTTTTTTCTTTTTAATTACATATTCTCATTTTGTTTTGAAACTTTGTTCTTATAAAGATAAAATTGATAAATTAAACAATAAATTTAATATAAAAATTATAATAATAAATATAGAAACATTTTTTTTTCATTTAATTGAAACAAATAGCTTTTTTATTAAAAAAAAAAAAAATTCAGGAATTTAGTTCTAAAAATTTTTTAATGTTTATAAGAAAGGAGGAGAGGAGACTTTCTCAAGCTGGCACAGCAATTTAAAGAATAGAAAAGAATAAAATAGTTGAAAGGTTGCATGTATTCTTAGCAAGACATTCTACACTGAATTAAATTAAGGCAGTCGGCATTTTATATTATACTTGAACTTTTAAAGGTATATATAAATACACATATAAATGCCCGCATGGAAAAATGTTTATTCTTTCTTTTCAGATTAAAAAATTTTTATTATCAACCATTGGAAAAAAATATTCTACAGTGTTATGAAAAATATAATTTCTAGTTTTTGAATTTGCTCTTCTACTTAATTTTTTTTTACAAATTACAATTTTTGTAAATAAATAAGAATATTTTTTGAAATAATATGTCAAAATATAAAAAAATTATTGGCCGCCAGTTTGCGGATTACATCTGCGATATATAATCATCAGAAATAGATTAGTTAATGTCAATTTGATCGTTGAGGCTTGTTATTCATGTGAGAATATTTCAAACCCACGTGGTTTCATACACTGGGTCAAATAAATTTCATATGTGCATTGTGATAACCGGAAGTCTAATCAAAGCGACAGTAACATTGAAGAGTTCATTAAAAGAAAAATATATTCTGTCATTTACTTACTATCAATGTACTATCAACAATGTTGAAATATATAATTATTTATAAATAATTATTAATTTAATTAATTTAAAATCGATAAAAAAAAGAACAAATACACGGAAATTGTTGGAAAAAAATAAAATAAACTTTGATTTAAAATAAAATAAAAAAAACTTCATCGCTCAATTTATGAATTAAGCCTTCATGGGTCGTTGATCTCGTCACAAGCGCTCTTTACTAATCGTCCAGAGAAGAAAAACGACACGCATGGAAGTAATAATCGTCTGTGCTCTCGATTAAATTCGATAATTTAATTTATGTATATGTACATCAAGACACCAGAAAATTTCTCAACTACTTCACATGATCACTTTTTCATTTGAAATGAAAAAATATTCGAAAAAAAGAAACAAAAAATTGTTTTTTTTTAGTAAGTTAAAAGAAAATTTAGAAAAAATAATATTTAATTAAGAATTAAATAGTAATAACTATTATTAATTATTAATAACCATTAATTAACAATGAACATTATTATTTATAACTATTAATTAACAATAAACATTATTATTAATTATTAAATTATTAATTAAAAATAATTATTTATTAATAATAATTATTAACTAATTGATTAAAAAAAAATTATTGTGAAACAAAACAATTTTTTTTGTGCAAAACTTCTTTTATTTTTAAAAACTTGTTTGCATATAATATATTACCGAGAAATTCATTTTCCATACAAAGAAATATTTTCGAATAAAGAAAAAAAAATATTTTTCTGGACAAAATAAAATATTTCCATTGTTCAAAGAACAGCACTGTTTGAATGAAAAAAAATATTTTTAATTGAAGAAAATTTTTTTTTATGGATTTATATGCAATACCTACTTTTATATAAAGTATAGAAAAAATTAATAATAAAATAATTGGAAAATTTTATTTTTTAATTAAAATTATTCCCCCCCCCCTTTTTTTAAAAATAAAATCAAATTATAATGAAAAGAAAAAGATTTTTTCTAAAAATTAATAAATAAAAATTAAAACTCACATTTGAAATGTTATTTTTTTCGTGAGAATGCAACAGGAATGTGTTCACTAACACAAAATCACAAACAATGACTAAAAGTTGAGAACGCATCATGTGGGCAACATCCCTATTCCCTTTGGGTCTCTCATCCCCACTCTATTTCAAACCACCCGGCTTTCTTTGTGAGAATAAACCTTTCCAAGGCAGTAATAAAGCCCAGGGTTTATTTCAAAGCATACCTTTAATTCCAGTTGGAATTATATATTCATTCTCCATATAGATCTTTGACACAAATGTAAGTCCGGTTTAAAAATGTCCCTGTAATAATTTGCTTCCTGATTGGATGATTGCTTCCAACTGTACGAAGAACAAATCTGCCCTAGAGTTGATTTCATATATTTTTTTTTTCTATTTTCTATTTTACCCAATTTACAAATTATAAAATAATTCATTAATTTGTCTTCATAGGGGATCATTGTTTCTGACTTAAAAAAAAATTCTCGTCATTTATGTATTGGAATCAAAAAAATTTTTTGAACTCCTTTTTTCCCATTAAAAACCAACTTTTTATAAATTTTTAGTCTCAAATCTTCCTAGAAAAGATTTTAAAATGTAAGTCAAATTACAATAAATGCGAAGAGCCCTTCAAGAGCAAGGTCGCAAAATGAAAAGAAAAATTTTTAAATTATGAAAACATGTTATTGGATGCCATTGGCTTTTCAGTTGAAGGATGCAAGAAATACAAAAACCGGTTTACGGAAGTTAACATAATGTACCTTGAAAATGTTCTTAACAAGATGATCAATCTGTCAGAAAAGGGTATTAGGGAAATTTTTTTTCTGTATACTAAGAAAGTAGAAAGGTCCAGCTGTTTAGAATGTTACAATATATGAAACTTTTTTTTTTTTTGTAATCAAAATATTTCCCTCGCTCGAAAACAGGTTACGATTGTGAAAGAAAAAGATTATCATCAGATGTATATATCATATTTTTTAAATCCCTATATATATAAAAAATGTTTTTGTTCGCGTGAAAATTTTATCTCCGAATTTTAATATTTAATCAGTTTTTTTTTATATAAAGATTGCTGTTTTATTTAGAATAACGTATTTTCTGTTCAATTTACAAAAATGATAAAAAAAAAGTGTGAGATGAAAATATTTAATAGAAGAATTTTAATTATAATTGAATAATGAATATTAAATTGATTTCTTCATATATACATATCTTTAAGAAAGATCAACATGTTTTCATTATGAGATGAAAAAAAAGGAATCAATTTAGAATTAAATTGTGAACATCTAATCATTTTTTCCATTCACAACTGGAAAAAAAAATTGTTTTCCTTTTTTTTCAATTTAAGTTATAAGAAATTTGTAAACACATTGTATAAATTTTAAGAATTTAAAAAAAAATTATTATTTGCAACATTGTATTTAATTTAGATTAAAAAAAAGGAAATTAAAATAGAAATTTAATTAATTAATTCGCCAATTTAATTAATTGACTTGAATTATATGAATTGTATGATTAAAAGTGGTAATTTTTTAAATTTCAGATAATAAAAAAAATTGATAAGTTATAATTGAATTTTTATCACAACATACTTAAATACATTGATAAATTTAAATATTTGAAATAATTTTTTTTCTAACTAGTTAAATCTTCTTTATTTTTGTTCTATTATCTGAATTATTTTTTTTTTTGATAATAAAACACAATAAGTTAATCTAAAATTGAATGAAAATGTATCTTGTCAATACTTATAAGATGAGGAAACCAGCGGTTAATGAGATTTTAAGGCTTCAATTGAAAAAGCACAAAATAACATTAGCTATTCTATTACTACATTGCTAAAAAAAAATTTTTTTTTTTGAATGATTCATTAGAAAGAGAACATTTAATTTTAAATTTAATTTTTGTATATAAAAAAATATCTAATTCAATAATAAATTAAGTAGTCAATTAATATTAATATCTCTAAAATTAATTAGAATCTCGTAATTTATTTTACATTTATTTTTAATGATTTATTTAATTAGAAATAATGGACAAAAAAGTAATTGCTATCAATAAAAAAATAATCACTAAATTGAGATAAGATTTACTACCGAGAAAAATTTATTTTAGTTTTTATATTAAAAATGTTGCCAATAAAAAATATATGCAGAAATTATTTCATTTTTCAAGTATCTTCATTACTGTAATTTTATTTAATAATATTTAATAAATATTAACAAAACATTGTTTTTTTGTTATTAAATATAAAAATAACAAATAACATTTAAAAAATTCTAAATAATTGATATAAATAAAAATTGAAAAAAGATGAAACAGGAAAAATTTTTAAAAATAATTAAAAATGAATTAAAAACAATTAACAGTATTAAAATATAATAAATTGTCACTTACGCCCACGTTTTAAACACTTTAACCAGAGAAACAGCCACGTGTGTTCGTTTATATATTATTTATGCAAAAAAAATCAATCCAATTTGGATAAATAAAAAAAAAATGAGAAAAAAATTGAACAAATAATAATTTAAAAATAAGACATTTTTAATTGAGCGCGCAAAATATAAATTTTGAATTAAATAATTTATAAAATTCGCGTTACCATCCTACAATGCACTCCAAGGAAGACTAATCGTCAACGTCGAAGTCTGTTCTATAAACCTCATATGTCTCCCACTCTTTCTGGCTTCTGTATATCAGTTGTACTTAACAAAGTTATTTTTGTCCTTTCTTTTATATCCGATTATATATTATATTCTTCTCAAATCGTAATTTTTTATTCTTTTCATATTTATTATATCTATATTATATTCTCCATATAAAAATACTAAAATTTAATAGAAAACTTTTAATCCAAATATTAATAATTAAAATATTTTTAATAATTATTCTGTGGAGTGAATTGTTTTTGTCAATTAATACAAAGATTTTTTTTTTGTTAAAAAACGAAAAGAATTTTTTAATTTCATTAATAGGGAATATTTTTTCAAATTTTATGATATATAAAGTATTATAGTAATCTTGTTTATCTGAATACGATATATTTAGGTACGGATAATAATTTTTCTAAAATATATTTCAATATTTTCATTTTTACATTTATTTCATATTTTCTTTTGCAATGTAGCCTAGAATGCATATCTATTGAAAAATTATTAAAATTATATCTTTATAATTTCCATATAATGATAATACACAAATTAAAAAAAGCAGAATAATTGATTCTTATTCTATTTACCTTAAATACTATATTTAAAAAAAGTTTTAACTTAAAAAAACGTAAAATGGATTGCTGACACTTTAAATAAAAATACGTCCTCTTATTTTATTTCTTTTAGATATAATTGACTCATGTTATCATGTATGAAATGTCTTGTATAAGTGAATAAAATTTTCTTCATTTTATCAATCATATTAAATTCCTAATTTGCAGTATGAACTATTTTTTTTTTTTTTTTTTTTGATAGAAGATATATGTGATAACAGTTTGTGAATTTTGTCATAACTGTTTATTTTTCACTATCCTGTGAATGACAAAATCGTTTCTTTGCCCACCAAACGGCAGCAAGGGCTGCAGCTAGGAAACCTAGACTCGCTACAATTCCCATTGATATTGCCCTGTTACGAGAACTTTTTTGATAGGCAGGTATTTCCATTGTAAAACGTTCACTAATTAAAATATCATCTGTAAGTGACATTGCTCCCACCTCAAATGAATAGTAACTATCCTCTTCCAAATTCTTCACTGGAAAATAATTTACAAGATTATTTTTAATAATAATCATCTAATTGTGGGAAATTTAAAAATAGAAATAAATCGAAAGCTATGAATGATAAAATTTATAGTGTAAGAAAAAAGAAAAGAAAATAAAAATCTTTACCGAGATAATAGGTGTCTGTTGTTTCTGCTTTGCCATAAAGATGGTCTGATGTGCCTCTAAACCATTTTACAATATACAATCTAACGAGTTCTGGACCAACTACAGGAGATTCCCAAGTAACTAAATAACCCTCGACAGTAGCTTGTACTCTGACATTACGAGGTGCACCCATAAAATCTGATTCTGAAATTAATGTCTATTTTAAATGCTAATTTGACTGATGATTTAATTTAAAGAAGAACCTTTTTTTATATTAATTCAAAATACGAATTCAAATATTAGAGCTAACCTGGAAGTCGAAATTCAGACGCTCCATTATGATCCATCGCATCTGTAAAATAATCTCATTAATACCATAATCTCTAATCAATGCTGTATTTTTGACAAATACCTGGATTTGTTAGTACACGCACTGTTTTACTAAACATTCCATCACCATGTTTGTCTTGGCTAAGAACCATGAATTCGTACTCACGACCAGGTGTCAAATTATTTACAGTAGCTTCAGTTATTTTTTTTGACACTATTTTCATAGTTCTCCATTCAGAAGTGTCAGTTGGTCGATACCTTTTCAAAAAAAAAATAGTTTGTTAATTAAAAATTTCAAAAATTTTCATCAATATATAAAATTTTAATACCATATCGAATATTCCATTTTTGGTCTTATATAGCCAGGAATCCATGTGAGGGTCACTGAATTTTTACTAGTATTTGCACTGAGATTGTAAGGTGCTCTTGGTGGTACATTTAAAACCATAAGTTCAGCATCGGCAACAACTGTAGCAGCCTCATTAGTTGCAGCACATTGATAAAGTCCTCGATCCTGTTCTTGAATTTTCTCAATGGTGAGATTTCCTCCAGTGATTATTGCTCTTTCCGGAGAAAGAGGTGAACCATCCTTTAAAAAACACGTGTATGTCGGTACCTAATTTTTTCTAAAGGAACTCATTTTTTTTAAGCTCTTAAATAAATTGTGAATATATATATAAAGCCAGAGCAGTAATTAATTACTTCATTATTGATGCCATACACCTTAATAAACCCCAAAAAATGAAAATGTACAATTATTACCATTTGATATTATAAAATGAATGAACTAAGGAATTAGAATTAGATGAACATCATCGTAAATCCTTTATTCCAAAATGATTCAAAGCAAAACGACACTAGGTCAATCAAACACAAGTTTGTACATGCTAAAAGAAGCCATAATTTATCTAGTAAGCATCTCTATTGTTACTACATATTTGTACTTTTCACAAATTTTTATAACCATAGTAAATTCGCATATTTCTAGCAATGTTTTTTTTTAACTACTAAACAAACGATTTAAAGGAAACATTCATTGGAATTTTACTTTAAACCAAACGATGTTAGGTCGATGATTATGATCTCCATCTCTAGCGTCACATGGAATTTCGAGATTTTCTCCCAATTTTCTCATGTAGAGTTGTTGTGGTGTCACAGTAAATATTGGTGGCCTTTGAACAACCTGTAAAACAAATACTTTATTAAGTACATTAAAAACGTTTCGAGAACAAAAATGTTTCTTAGGTAAAATTATACCTACCACATTGATAGGAGTACTGGAACCTTCAGTACCAAGATCATTATAGGGTGTGCAACTATAACTTCCAGCATGACTCTCATCTACTTTGCTGAAGTACAAGGAGCCATTTCTTCTATAAAATACACCTTGTACATTATAAGGATCAAAGAGAAATCCATCTTTTTCCCATCGTAAATTAGTTAGCGGTGGATTAGCTCTAAAATGACAATCTAAAATTGCATGCTTTCCATATGGAAGAAATACTTCACGTGGAGCATATATCACTTTTGCTTTATCTAGAATGAAAATTATGAAAAATTATCATTAAATCAAAAATTTATTTATTTATTCAATAAAAAACCTACATTGTACATTAAGATAAGCAGAAGCACTTTGTTGTTCTCCCTGATCATTGCTGACAACACAAGTGTATTCCCCTAAATCACCCATGTCCGTTGGTTTTATTGTCAGAGTTCCATTACTGTCAACTGACGCTCGAATTTTGAGATCCTGAATTTTGGTATTTATTTTATTTTCAATTATTCAATAGAATTTTTTTTTTTAATCTAGTTTTTACCTTTATTTCTGAAATCTCAACACCTTCGTGAAACCAAGCGAGAATGGAGGAGGAATCTTTTGCAATGCATTCGAATGATACTGGTTCACCCTCCATAACTGTTCCATTGATTGGAGGTACAACCAAAAGAGTCTCACCTGGAACATTTTCGCCCGGCGGCAACACACCTAGATTGAACGATTTAATGAGTCTGCCTGGATTTAGGTTAGTAAAGCATTTTCAGAAAAATTATATTGTGCTTATAAAGTCTTTATACGACAAGAAATAAAATGATTTATCTCATGATAATTATGATTTGGTTATCTTTAAATTATTTTTGCTGAAGATTGATCATCAACTACTTTAAACAATAGTTAGTAGATCTAAATTTTTAAATCAGTTCTAAAGCTGTTATTTCACATATCAATTTACGAAAATCGTAGTTGTTTCTGAAGAAAATTATCAAATTATTCTTAAAGCCACCGATTGCAAAAAAATTTTTTGTTTTGAGAGCTTTGGAAGCATTTCAGTTTTCTAAAAGATTTTGCTTATATCGTTCTAGGTTCTGATGGGTAAAAAAATTGTTGCTTTATTGATGCTAAACTAATTTACAATACAAAGTGAGTTCGACGTTTTCTTTTTGTAATTATTATAATGAATGCTTCGTTAATTTTCTTCAATTTTCATATCCAATAGATATTGAAACTAAAAGATTGCCTTTATAATTACTTTTATTTTTGACATTGACCCAAATACGAGTTATAATAAATAGTGAAAAAAGCGGAAGTGATAGAGGTCATCAAATGCAAAGAGCTTATCGATAGCAAGCACTGTAGAAATAATTATTCAGAATCAGTGAGAAAAAAAAACGAAACTTTTGTGCGATTTAGGCTTGCTGGAATGTATCCAGGAAAAGGTGCAGTTAATCCATTATTATCGATACTCTCATTCTTTTCGATATATATAAATATATTCTCTTCTATAAGCAGACTGGTTAATCCTGCTTCATCATCAGATGATTCTGTAACTCTGTAATTCTAGAATTCTGTAATTCTATAAAGGAATGCACATATGTTAATTTGACAATGAAGTATTAGTTCCTGTATTATTACATAGTTTTTTTTACATATGGTCAGTTAGTCATAACTGAAGATATATTTCAAATAGAAGAATGTGCTGAAAGAAAATAAGAGGCGAAAATTTAAAAAATCACATATTAATACAGAGAGAAATTTTGCCAGGGCGTAGATCGGGGTCGGATCAGACTGCCCTATTAGGAAATGAAACGCCGCGCCTGATGTGGCCCTGATTTGGTGTGGCGTTTCATTCCCTACTAGGGCCCTGGTGAGGCAATTTCTATACGGAAATTTGTCGTTATTGTAAACAAAATTTAATTTAATAATTTTAAAATTTTCACCTTAATAGAGTAGAAAAGAAAATCAACAAATATACAAAGCGCCTGTGAGGAGGTTCGCCGGTAAAACGGCAAAAGTTCGATTGTTGTGTAAGACCGGTTGCCTACACTTTGGAGTAATTGTCATTTTTAGGCATTTTTTTTTATTAATAAATTATAATTAAAAATCTATTGTACAAAAACTATTCAACAATTGTTATACAAAAAAGATACAATAAAATGAAAATTTCTAATTTCTCCTACGCAATTGCTTTGTATAAATATGATGAGATATTGTGAAGAGATAAAAAAAAAATTTTTTTCTTCTTCTTCACCTCTTTATAAACATACCATCAATGGAGAGATGTAACCAAGTGCCATTATTTCTGGAACTTGGTGTTCTGTTGGGAAAAATGACTTTACACTCGTACCATCCTTGATCGCTGTTTCTAATGTTGGTTAAATTGATGCTGCCTTGACCGTAGCTGGATACATCGTCCAACCTGTGTATACGACCGGAGTAATCGCGAGCTGCGGAAGTCGCGTTAGCGTACCACGAGAATATTGTTCGTCCCTGAAACATTAGACACTATATCAATTATTGCGAGTTAAGGTCCTCAACATCCTTGTTCAAGTCTGAGATCCATGCATCCGCTATTTTGCGCTCTATAAAAGCGTCTCTTAAATAATACGAAAATCAACACTCTACAGACAAGAATAATTGCTTCGATAATTATATAAACCATCTCTATTTTAACACAGTAACTAAATCCATCTTAAGTTTCTTTTTAAAATTATTCTATTTTTCAAAATTTAACAGAAAAATTATTATTAAAATTGACCAATCACGTTTTGGCATTAATCGATATATTATCGAATTCGTCATTTTGAACGCTCGATTTATAATTGGGTCATATGTAAAAAGAAAAATTTCTTTGTAAGTTCGACGTCTTTGTGTGTTAGAGAGGATTTCCTTCCATTAATTCTGGACCATTAAAGAGGTTTATTTATTCAGATGTTGATTGCTCTCTTGACATGTTGTGCTGCTCCAATCAAACTTGTCAAGCGTAAAAAGGAAATTTAGCGGAATAAATTTGTTTGGACTCGATTGAATCTAATTTGTAGCCACAGGAAAAAGGATCCCTTCTTTGAATACATATTCCAACAAGTGGTTGTAATATTTTTAAAATACAATTCCCCCCTCTCCTATGTCATTTAATTTTGAAAATTAATTAATCATTTTTTTATTTTAAATATTTACTATCGAAATTATTTATTTTCTTTTATGAAGAGATTATTATTATTATTATTTTACGCCTTTGAAAATTGGTGACGAAAAATTTGTCGACTTTTGACCTAGTGACGATAAGGATTGAAGAAAAGGATACTTATGAGAAGCTTTATTGGTCAGACAAAGCGTTAACAGTGACCTACTGGTTGGACCCCTCGAGTCGCCGCGACGACTAAATATAATGCAGCCTTGCGTCCAGTACTCCAATTACGAGTGTACCTATTTTTTACTATATAGACACCAGGAAACCAATCAGATTGACTAGTTTATTTCATGAACTGTCGCTGATTTTATTTTATTCTTTTAATCAAAAATTTAAAGAGCCCCATGTTTTTTTTCTTAAACGTCCATATTAGATAAAAATGCGAAAATTTATTGGATTTTTTTGAAACTTTGGTAAATTGTCACCTTTAATAAGAGTAAAAAATCCCTAAAGTTTCAATTGTTTAAAAAAAGAATTGTAGAAAATAGAAGTGGTTTAAATTTTTGAACTTTACGGATTTTAATTATTATAGTTATAAAAAAACTTTCGTGCTACTGGTTATTCAATGATTTGCGAAACATCAACTTCTTTTTCTACTTTAAGACAAGAATATCAACATCTAGAGAAACCACCAGAAATATGAGAAACTGGAACTTGAAATTATTTATTTATCTTTCATATAATGTGTATGAAAAAAATTTTTTATTACAGATGTAATACTATAGGGTAAGCGAAGTTGATCTGATCTATAACGTTTCCTATATAAGACGTCTGTATTAATATATACGAATATATTAAAATAGTCAATAAGTAAATTAATAAATACAGGAACAATATTCAGATTGAACAAACAAGTGGTATTTAACTTCCTTAATGTGCTTAAATCGCCAATCACTATATAACGCGTTGAATTATTATCATTTAGAACGCCAATTGGTAAATGTCCCACGCAGACTTGAAATGCGCGTGGGCGATTTGATTTATTGAAATTTACTTTTTTTTACCCCAAAAAATGGTGGGAAAAAAAATTTTTTTTTTTCAAAATAATTTTTTTACGGATTATAATAATTCTTTTTCTTGTTTTTTTTTGGTTTTAAATAACTTTTGTCCCTCTAAATTTGTGTTTTAGATAAAAATTTATTTTTTTTTAATCAAATTTTTAACTTACATCGCGTTTCCAGTGTAATATATATGGAATCGGTATCTCGTGTGGAAAGTCGAGATCGCAATTAAAGACGACATATTCCCCAACACCTGCAGTAAGATATGTGGGCTCTTTTTCTTCCTCTAGTAATAGACCTTGTCCCAATGCTGTTCATTTTGTTTTTGCAAAAAATGATTAATTATTCCATTTTTTGAAAATAGAAAGATAAATAAAAATTTAATTCCAAAAAAATATTGAAGTTATTATTATTTTATTTCTTCTTTATTAATTTCAAGGGAATTTTGTATTCTAGTATAAATTTTCGATTTTAATAATAAAAACGGTAAAACATTTTTCGTTAAATTTGAATTGTAATTTAGATTTAGAAGAAGAAAAAAAAATACAATTACCTGTCGAGTAAAGAAGAATTAGCAGGAACTTGACAATTTTTCCACTGATTGTCTTCCTCATTCCGAAGTTCATCTCTCGTCGTCAATTGCAGAACTCTCAGATTTGTAATCGAGGTCAGAATCAAGTCGGAAAATCACCTCGTAAGGAAGAAGTGGACAAAACAAACGAAACACATTTATCATCACCGTCACACATAAAAAAGACACACCACTTCTCGATAAAATACTTTAATTTTTTCTCTCTTTCTTTTTTTTTTTCACTTACACTTATTTTTCAAAATTTACCAACAATCAAAACACAAAAACATTATTTTCAAATCATCACAATAATTGATATTAGATAAATTATTCATTTGTGCCTCTTGGAATAAGTTGCTGAAGATATGAAGAGACACGTCTTTATTTGAAGAAAGAATAGAGTAACACAAAAAGAGAGCAATATTAAAGAGGGAGAAAACACGAGATTGGGAGAGGGTTTTATGACAAATAAATCCAGGAGTCAGCATCCGCTTGTCACAACGTGCATACTCCCCGAGTGGTCCAGTAACGTACGAGATGAGCACGTAATTGCAGTGGCTGTTCAACTAAACGGATAAAAACCAGTGTCTCGATAAGAGAGAGAGAGAAGGAGAATTATTGAACAAGTGGGGGATTCATCTAACTTGTACATTATTTGCAATGCTGTTCTAAATCACAATCATGTCACACCTACAATCTGTAACTGGCAAATAAATGCAAAATTTTTCTTCTTTGCAATTTTTTTTTTTTTTTTTTTTTGAAATACTGCTATACAACGAAGCCGCAAAAAATTGAGATTTTTAAAATTCGTTATATTCAGCGATTCCAAAAATCTCCGAGAAGAAAGTTTCAAATAATTCAAAGTCAAATCAAATTTTTTTATTAATCTTGCGTTTTTGAAGAAAATAATTTTTTTTTTTTGATTTTGATTTTTTAGCATAATTTTCCAATTTTTCAATTGTATTTTTTTTATTATTAATAATAAATTATAAAGATGACACCATTGGTACACGATAGCCAAACTCCATTTGCGTAGGTGACCTCAGATTACGTCACATCCGTCCCTTGGTTGCATTTAGTAGACAACCTACAACCTTGTCATGCTGTTGAGATAATGGGCCTCTATATTCGCATGGATCACGAATCACGATTGGACGAGACTGCTTCACTGGAAATAATATGCGCATAATGATACCCCATATCAAACATTATATATTCCATCATAGAGATGATCAATTCTTTCTAAGAATCACCAGGTGAAAGTTTTTTTTTCACCTTTCATTATTCTTTTCAATATTCTAAATTAATTTAGAAAAAAAATTTAATTACGTAAAAATTGTTATTATAAACAAAACCCATAGAATATATATATATATATTTTTTTATCTATTTCTTAATTTTTAAAATTAATTATAAAGGATGTGAAATAAAACAACATATAATTTATTTCATAGATATTTCTTTTCAAATGTCGCTTTATTTTTCATTTCATTCAATAATAAATTGTCTACAATTTGTTCTAAGTTAGTATGTCTTGGGAGTTCTCGGAGTCGCGAGAGAATGTATCGGATTTGTGAGAGATATATAATATAAGAGAATAAAACAAGAAAAAATTTCATAGCAATTTTTTTTTAATCGCAGTTTGAGCCTTAAATGTAAAAAAAAATTCTTTTTTTGACAAAAAAAAAGTTTTTTAGACGAAGAAATGAAAAATGAGAAAGCCATTAAATATCGCAAGTCTGACAAGAAAGCGGCGTGTAGAATGTTTCATGTGAATATTATTTCTAATATATTATTTATAAAAATTGCAAATATACAAAACCAATCGATAAAATTAAATAAAAAAATTTTAAAAGAGTCTTGTAAGAAAAATCGATGACGGAAACGATATTTCTCATAAGGGTTGCGTGAGAGTGCAATTTTTTTTTTTTTTTAAATAACTAATCATAATCATAACCACAATCATTATCATCATAATCGTAAGCATATAATATCAACGCGATCACTTAAACCTCGCATTTAGCTCTATAACGAATCATCACATTTTTTTTCTTCTTTTATTAGATTTCAGTCCTTTGTCAAAGCAAATAAGAAAAAAAGCGAAGACATTATAAAAATCAATAAGAGAAATAAATAAAATATTCAAAATTTTATTTGTGATTTCAAATTTATTATTATGTTTTTAGTGAAAATATAATATTAATACTGATTTTACAAAACAAATGTGAGAAACGGTACAGAGCTATTGCTGAAATATTTGTACCCGTCAGCCATGAGATACGTGATTGGTCGAAACGATTTCTTACGTTCGTTTAAAAAAAAAAAATTAATAACAATAATAATAATAATCAATAAATACAACAATGTAAAATCCATTGTTCGATAATAAAGCCTCTCTGTAATAATTACAACTCGCCGTGTTCTTATAACCATATACATATAGTCAGTCTGCAATGGCACTCAGTCAAAAAAAAAAAAAAAAAATCACTTTGACTGAGTCCCTTTTTATAACGGCTAATGCACTTTAATACAGTTATTTTTTTTTTTTTGTTTTTCATTTTCTTTCTTTTTTTTCGGAGAACGTCACAAAATGGCTTTCAGGTACGGAAGTATAGGTGGGAAAAATCATTGTACGAAAAATTGTACCGAGGATCATATTGTAATCCTCACCAAAAAAAAGCAGTTTCAAAGCGATTAAAAAGTCGTGAAAAGTTTAGCTTTTTGACATTAAAAAAAAAAACCAAAAAAAATAAATAAATAAATAAAAATTGCCAAAAAAAATATAAAATATTTTAAATACTGGTCAAAACCGATTCACGATTCAACCATAGCCGTTCTTGTTTACGCGATACTCAATGCATATTATATTTATATATAATAATATATTTTGTGTCAAATTGTGTGTATAACGCTTTAAATATCAGCGACCAATAAGGTTTAGCGATCCACGTCATTTTTTTTTTCTTTTTGAGATCGTTGTATCTAACTATGATATATCTACACGTTACTTACACCCTTTATCGATTATCTATAAAGACGTGCGGCTGACGGAGGCGCTCGGCCGACGCTTTTTTTTTTCTTTTATTAGCGATGTAAATTACCGTAAAATTTGGTGCTGATTAGTAATTAATGTACAATTCGCACGATATATGTTTTTTTTTTTTAAACAAATTTTTCACACACAACACGCCGTTCACTTAATTTAAAAAAATTGTGCATTATATATAGTATTATTTATTATTTTATTATTATTTTTCATTTTTTATTTAATACGACGTGAACTTCCTGAGCGTTTAATGCATCTGTAATATTTACATGATTGAACTCTATAAGGGTTTTTTTTTAAGTCAAAAGAAGCTATATCAGTGCTTTTTTTTCTTATACAAGAATGTTCTTAACTATAGTTATTTACACAGAGTGATTTTATTTAACAATATTTCCTCTCATTTTTCTCCTATTTCCTACTTCAATTTATCATTTATCCTCTAAAATCCACGCGTCACTTATTATATTTCATATACATTATAATTTTTTTAACATTCGATTTCATTTTTTTTTTTTTCTTTATAACAATACATTTTGAAAACGAATTTTGTATTGTTAGAAAAAAATTCTTACATTTGATATCAGATTTTTATGTTTTTCAATTTTTCATTATTATGTTAAATTAAAACAAATTTTTAACAATCAGTAAACATTTCAGAAAATGTAGGGGATACAAAATTGTGAATTTCGTTTTTTTTTAATTTTCTTTTCCTATTCACAAATATTTTTTTTAAACATTTTCTTTTTATACAAACAATATCGTTTCTGCTTAATTCATTTGACATTTCATTTTTCTATTTAAGGATTTCATTTCCATTGTTAAATTTACGTCTTTTTGCTGTAATTTGGTAGATTTGTGATAAAAAACAGATTATTGCAAATTTAAAAAAAATTTTTTTTTTTAATTGTCTGTTTTTAATCACATATCTACTCGTTCAATACAGTCGAAGAATCACTCTGTATATAAAGTTTTGTAAAATTGATTGCTTTTGTAAAATTGTGTTTTTACTACAGAATTAATTTTTTTTTTAATGAAAATTAAATAACAATTACGGTAATATACACCTCTATTTGTGTCTCGTTTCATTCCTGCTGACAATTTTTTTTTCTATCGCAGTTACGTCGTTCAGACCCTTTACAATACATATATGTATATATATTTATAATCACATTACAAATAAAATCGAAAAAATTAAATACTATCAATAAATAATTAGCAATTTAATGTTTCCACAATATAGCAACAACAATTAACAATAACAAGATTTGTTTCATTGATTAAAATAGTAGATATTGTAAAATATTTTTTCATAAAAAATAACATTTGTCTTTTTTTTTTTATACTTTCTTGAAATTTTAAATATAATTTTTTTTGTTTATATAGTTGGATAAATTTCTCTTTGGGGTATTGAAAAAAATTTATATATTTTTTGAATATAAAAAAAAATAAAAAGAGTTTGGAAAAAAGTTTTCTCTTTTTATTTCACGTAAAGGGTCGAACGAATGAACATTCAGTACACATTATCTTTAACTATGCATTAATAATTAATATGTTACAACAGCAATGACCGAGTACCCTCGGTCTTTCATATTAAAAACGTATCTCCGGCCTTTCGTAGTCTCGTTGATTAATTCACTACACGCTACGTCGTTACGATGTACAATATCAATTAATTATCAAATTGTTAATTCAATTATTAGAATTACTTTAGAATATTGGTACTCTTTGTGTCATCTCCGTTTTTTTTTTAAATCACTGTTATCTTTCAATTTTTTTTTTTTAATCTGTCCATTATAATTGCTCTTCGAGTGTTTTCTAAAACGTTCACTCTCTCATTCGTTCAATTTATTGCGCATACTCCTCGAATTAATAATAATACAAGTTACACTCCTTCACTGTACAGGTTCTTTATCCACAGCGCGTATTTTTTTTTTTTTATTTCTCCAAGTATAGTTGAATCGTGAGTAGAGTCTTTTTGCTAATTACTTACTATATTATGTATATTTATATATAAATAATTATTTTGTACTATAAAAAAAGAAAGTAAAATGTATTTTTGAGGCCTAGAGTCTAAGAATTTTTGAAATCTTACAAAAAAGAAATTGTTTAAAATATTACAAAAAGTTGATTATTATATTAATTAAAATAGTTTTAATTTATATAAATAAAATAATTTAGTTTATAAAAATAATAATTTACTAAATTAAAAGTAATTATAATTTGTTTAATAAATAAACAAGAGTATTAAATCAGTTTCAATAATCTTTGTAAAAAAAGGATAAAAATATTTTACATATATTTATAAAACAAAATATCGAATATTAAACTTAAACTAAGATTCGCGCTAAAATTTTCTTTTTAATGACGCTATAGGGAACAAAGTAACGCATGCGTGTGATGATTGATTGACAACGCCACACCGAGGGACGCCGCGCAATTATGATCCTCTTTTAATTTTTACCGTAGGGAGCACACACGTTTTAGTGTTACAAGTCTTTGTAATTTGCTAGTTACTTATTGCTCCCTTTAATTAAACTTTTATTAATTTAGTACAAGAAATTTTTTCAATTTGGTTCTTTTATTTTCCAAAAAATAAACGAAAAAAGAAAGGTATGTCAATATTTTTCTGCTTAATAGAAAAGTTAGAAATTTTTTGTAAAATCCCAAAAATTCTTCAAATTGGACAACTGACCTCGATGATGATTTGATACAATGCGTTTGGTGGGAATTAGGTGGGTTATTGAGAACGTTTCGTGTAACTTGAAGAGACATATGTTTAATGCTTTCCTCTCTCCTTAGTTTCGATTATACAAATATCAAGAGAATCGAACTTAAAACGAGATGGAACATTAACGGGACTATATAAACTTTTGACGATAATATTTGACTCGAACTATAAACGTGAAGATCGTGTGTAAAAATTCGTAATTCGCTGAAAATGACGCGTTACAAGGCTGCTTTGAAGTCTCAAAAGTGTCACGATAATGTTCATTCTCGTCATTGAGAGTTGGATTTCTTGATTATTTTATTTTTATTTTTTTTAATTCAAAGAGCGTTACTTATTCTCGTTACGTTGCTTAAGAAAAATTATTGTGCCAATAATATGTTGGGTTACTAGCGAAACCCTAGACAGGCAGTGTGCAATACGAGTGAGTCCTTAAGCAATCTCGAGGCAAGCTTCGGCCTAATATCACGTTTAGAGTCCATTTGCTCATCATTAATTACTTGAGTGTTTTTCTCTTTTTTTTTTTTTGTTAAATTATTATTACTTAGTTTACGATTAGGTTATTATGACTTTTGTTGTTATAAAGATATACAGTTTTCTTTGGAGCGTCCTTTCATTTCGCACAAATGACGAAATATTTTCGCTAAGCCTCACGAAAATATTTCACAATTGTATTTAAGTATTTCTAAAATTGTCAACAAATTTCATTTGGAAAAAATCCATACGAAAATTGTTTTTAAGACATTGCGCTGAACAAGATATGATCAGTAATTGTGAAAACACGAAGTTACACAATTAATCTTCAAGTACTAAACCCTACTCTTACTATTACGTTAGATTTTAGCGCCTCTTTTTTATTGAGATCATCATTGATTCTGGCAAGCTCTTATCTAAATCATTTTTTAGAGTTAGTTTTTACTAGTTTTGAATGAGTGATGTCGTGTGCTTTATCCATTCCGGTTGACTTCCATTCTCGCCCACCCACAATTAAGAACGATTAGGGAAAACTCAGGTTAACAGTTTAAGAAGCCGTTAATTTCATTGCAACGGGACTAATAATTCGACATCATATCAGCAAGCACTTTCCAAATGGACGCTCTGTTTTCTTCTGGCTTGCCTTTGTCGAAACTGGTGGAATTCGGCTTTCATGGCTTGAACACGAGCTTCAATGTTGTCCCGTGAGTATCTAGCTGGCTGATGATGAACAGTGTGAACCTGATGAATTTGTGGGATGTGAATTGTGTGCATTTGATGGGCAGGTGGACGTTCCTCTCGCGTTGGTGTGGAGGCTGATGTTGGAGTTGGTGTACAAGACACGGGATCAAATTCATAGTGACCATCGACACTGCCGGCGTCAACTGCATTCTGAATATGAGTGTGTGGAGGTACTTTTGGAGCTTGATTTTGAAGCTCCAGCCATTTGCCAACCAGCGGTGGTGGAGGCGGTCTATAGGGAGGAGGCCTCCATTCTGCAACGGTGCTACCGCTTCGGGAACTTTGATTTTGTTGTGATGTATTCTTGCTGCCAAATCCGGAACTACTGGATCTGCTCTCTGGTGATGTTTCAAGATCGGGTGATGCTGCAAGTTCAGGTGCCGATCTAGCGTGTCGTGCGTGTCTTGGAGGAAGTCGTGCTCTTGGCCTACCGGCCGTTTGTGGTGGTGATGAAGTAGCCAATGGTTGAACAGGTACGAATCTCCTCGATTCGGCGTGTATTGCTTTTAGCGATGGTAATTCTTGACTGTAGCGTTGATGAACGTTTCTTAGTTGAATATAACCGGGAGGTGTTGGAAAAGAACGATCTCCAGACGATGGTTGACGAACGGAGCTGAGATCGCTGAGATAGACGGGCGTCCAGGGGATTTGCGCTCCACTAGGTGAACTCGCCAGGAATCTTGGCGACGATATTGTGCAAATTGTCGGTTGCCTCATTAATGGAATGCCAAGATGTCCTGGAGCAACAACGCCAATGGAAACACCACTTCCATCGGAGCGAAGACTCAATTGACTCATGCCAACGAGTGGCCGCCTCCAGGATGATTTTAATTTGGTTTTTGGTAAAAATCCACCGTCATCACTGCTCGAGGCGTCTAGAATACTGTTGTTGGCTGAACTAAGCACCGAGTCAGCAATGACAAAGCGACCATCGGCTGCTCGTGAAATTTTACCAAGGGGACGATCCCGGAAGGAATCTGGCGTATCGGCATTCAGGATCTCCCTTAGGAAACTTAGACCTGGTACTCGGCTCTTTCTAGGTCTATAATATAAAACTATTATTAGTAAAAGGGAAGTGGCGATTGATAAATGTGATGATCGGGCACTGCAGGAAGAAGAAAAATTGACCAGTCTTGGAATTTTAACTTTCTTTCACTCTTCCTGCATTTCTCGAGCAGCACACAAAACAACAATTACGTGCAACATTGACGCAAATGTTAATAAACATAAATAAAAATGAATAGGCGAACATACATAATTAATACGGATGATGATGATAATAATAATCATAATAATGGATGCAGGCTGGGATGCATGCTCATGCGCATTCCGGTGCGTTACTTGTGGTTAGGTGTGATTTTAGGGTTGAGGAAAAGGTACGTCGTGGAGGACAGTGAATCTTTTTTCTCATAAAAGTTTTTCCACTTTTGAAAATTTAAAATTTAATTTCATTTAATTCATTTGTGATATAGCAATCGTGGAATTAGGTGCTCCGAAATTTGTCACCTTTTCTGCTCCTTCGGGTCCGGCAGCAAGGAAAGATGAGGGAGAGAGAATGTTGTAACACAACGATTACATTCACAAAAACAATTGTGGTAATAATAATAATAATAATAATAATAATAATAGAAATAATGATAATAATGATAATAATAATAAATATAACGCTAAATAACCGAACATTACTTCTAGGCGGTGATGTTAGGGAGTAAATAGATTTTTGACATATGGTAACATGTAAATGTGTCTACAAACGAAGTAGATTATGTTTCATTCTCGTGAGGAAAGACTTTGGTTCAAGGCTTTGAAATGGATTAATAGGTTATTTGATTAACAGAAAATAAAAAAAATATATTGAATAAATTGTATGTAGTAAAGATGGTTAAAGAAGGATTCGTAAAAAACGCAGAACTGTTTTCTAGAAAATATATAAAACACTACCAAGAATAAATAGCGTTTAGGAACCATTAGGACCCAGACTGACTCCTGATCAACCCATTTTTGTAATCCGAAAAACATTTCACAAATAAAAAAGAATTTTTTTTATAATAATTAAAAGTAATATTAAAAATTGAATTAATAATGAAAAATTCTTCTTTCTTTATGAAAATTGAATATTTATTTTATCGTTTTAGACAATTGAGATGGGAACGAAGATTATAAGAAGCATTTTAATTTTTCGGTTTATAATGCATAACTAAATTAAATGAAAATTTAGCAGTATTTTCAGGCGATAAAAAGAAAGCAGTGTTATGAAGTTGAAATTGTTACTAGATCTTATTATATGTATGTTTAGATTATTGTTTAACATTTTACATTTTTCGGTTAATGACAATTTTTGAACGATTTTTTTTTAGATTTCATGCATTGATATAAAATATCTTGATCCTTTTTTAGATGATAGTTGTGTAATTTTATTAAGAAAACATGTAACTTATTCTTGTTTAGTGGATCAAGCGATGCAATTAGTTACTATAATAATTTTAATAATTTTAAATGGTACAGAAATGTATTGATTAGTTGACTTTTAAGTAATAAGGGTTGTACAACAATCGTAAAGTAAAATAAGACAGATAATAAAAAAAATAATTAGTATCTGAATGTACTGCAGGTTCAAAATGTATACCTACTTTTATTTCTGTTTTTGTGTGTGTTTTTTTTATGAGTCATCTAGTATCGATAAACTGAAAAGAACCAAGAAAAAAAGAAATCTTGAGTCACATAATAATCCGCTGCTTTTGCGGAATTAAATATTTATTTTTATCTAAAAGCCGAAATCCGCAATGTAAGGGCCACACACAATTTATGTACTTTAACTAATTTTGAATGAATTTATTGGTAGGTAATTAGCTCAGCGTCGAGTAATTGCAGTTTTTATAAATTTTGAATAAAAATTTTTTTAGAAATGCAAAAATTTTGTTTGCTAAATTGATTATTGTCATTAAAATGTAAAAGTAACTCCGACTTTATCATGCTATTGTAAAAAAAGCCTATAGCGATGCATATTAGCTGCATGCATCTTATGAGATTGGCGTAAGCGATAAGATAAGTGAAAAATGAAAATGTTTATAAATGAAAAGTTTTATAAAATAATAGTTGTCATTAAGAAGTGAGAAGAAAGATAAACAAGTTAATAAAATATAAAATCCAAGAGTTTAAAAAGATTGTTTACAATATGAAGTATTAAAAATGAGACATATATATTTGGGTAAAAGTAAATGTTAACTGTATTTTGTCTTTTTGTGCTAGAATGCAACAAAAGAGTGAAAAGAAGGACAAGTAACAAGTATAACAAGTCTTTTAGAAAATCATATTTATTTAATTCTGAAGTTGGTTCAAGTCAGATAAAAGAAATGATTAATGAGATGATCGATGATGATCATCGAGGTTGACATTCTGGGAATCTTGACAAAAAAGGAAGCCAGTCATAAAAGGGGTAAAAAGGGTCTATCAAGAATGAAGTCCTTTTAATTGTAGGGAAGATAAGAAGACGAGGATCTGATCAGAATTTAAGACTATTTAAGTAAAGTACAGACATACTTGACTGGAGATTTGTGATTGGGATTGTTTTATCAAGAAAGAAGAAATCTAGGGTGAACTAGGAGGAGACTTAAAGATGGCATCAGCATTGTGATGGTCATTGAACCCTACAATCTAGAAATAAGGTTTGTTGGTGTAATCAACAATCCAGGACAGACTGGAAGAACACGTAAAGATCAGATTTAGTCAATCAAAAGGAAAGAACCACGTCTCATGATCCGGAAGCTACAAAGTCTTTATAATGACTCTAGTAGAAGTCAGCATCTCCAAAAAGGAAATGGATCCATAAAACTGTGATTCAATAATCTCAACAAATATTGTTGATTTCTTAAATCAAGAGCGGTCATCTTTACAGGCTCCTTAAGAGTTTGCACCCTTTAAGAAATTGGCAGATATTTAGCATTCAAAGAAAATTGACTAATTTATATCGAGTCTACTGGTAATTTCAATTTTTGTATTACCTACAATAGAAAAAGTGACAGTGAATTCTAATTCTCTCCAAGAATTTAGCAGAATTACCACATAATAAGTTTAGTAAACTTCAAGTAAAGTTAACTAATTCAATAAATTAAATTCGGTTTCTATTTACAAAAGTATGACTCTGCTTTGGTTTTTTCTGCCCTTGGAAACGTATTGTATTTATTAGTGTAGGCGCTAAACGTCGGAGTTATTTTTAATATTAATTAATTTCTTTAAAAAATAAATGGTAAAAAATATGTCTAAACATAAGGTATTATATCATAAAGTACATAAAAAAAAGAAGGAACAGTGACAAAGAAAGAAGTAAAGAGTGAATGAAAGGTTGGATAAGAAAAATTTAATGGTGAAACATTAAAGTGAGTGAGAGCTATTGAATATCAAATTAAAGGTTTGGGTGACAAAAAGATGATACTTGAAACTAGAGCAATGATATATAATGGTGCGACAAAAGCAAGCAAAACGATCGATTACTCTTGAAGCATCTTGGAAAAGGCTACTTTGTCTCGTCTATCTATGTACTCCCTAGCCCGCCGAACGAAGGTAGGGTACTGACTGGATGATCTAGTGAGTCCTAGCGGTTTGCCTGTATTGCTCATCTCATCTACATTCATGACAATCATCCTAAGTAGTAGCAGTTGTTGTGATGATGATAGTAGCAGTAGTTGAATAGTTAAAACAGTAGCAGTAGTTGTGATAGTAGTAGATTAGTCCTAGCAGGTAGCATTGCAGAACGAAGCCGTCTCGCATATCAGTAGTGATAGTAGCAGTAGTACAGTACTTGTAATTGTATCTCTAATTGTACAGTACTTGTGACAGTTGTATTATCAGTTGTGCAGTTCGTAGTTTCCGTATTGACGTGCAATTGTACTTCTAGTATCACTAGCTTTTAGTAATATATACGAATTTTTTTGTGCGGTTTCTTGTAATAACAGTACTAGTTGTTGTTATGAATAGTTGTGCAGTATTTGGTATAATACTATCAATGTAAAGTACTGATGAAACTTGTTGTACAGGTAATAGTAGTAAAAGTTGTTGTATCAGTTGCAGTAGTAATAGTAATAGTAGTAGTAAAAGTAGTAGTAATAAAATATAGTGGGTGATGTATCCCACCGCAAAAATCGTTTCGTTTCAATCGATTAGGTCGATCGATTGTTCGGGTCGATCTGGGACTGGTCTGGGTACTGACTCGTCTCGTTAGCGGATGTTGGGCTTACTGTTCCGCCTCTCTATGATAAATACACTCTCGTAATCTCGGTTATCGAGATGGAGTGCGTGATGATCACGATCACGAATCGGGGGGGCCTCGTGGACCTGCTCCGAAGTGACATTGCCGGGGGTTACTTGCGTAGGAAGTGGTTGATGAAGAGGTTGTGGTTGCGGATTCAACGGGCTGCAACGGGTCAGCGTCGACACTGACTCGCCGCACGCGTTTAAGTTTGTCGACCTACAGAACATAGAGGACAAGAGACACCACGCTGTGTCGAGCCATGATTCGAGATCACTCCAACAAACAAAACTTATATCTTTCTCTAATCAATTTGTCCCCTTTCATACCACACGTCGAGTTTCATTCTTCCATTCACTTCTCCCCCAATATTTATTATTTTTATTCTCCCTCTATTTAACAAAATGTTTTTCAAAATTTCTTTTACTTTTTCAAACTACTAGAACTAGATTATTCTTGTTTCAATTATTTTGACTACAATGTTTCAATTCTTATTTAAAAATGCATGGATAAAAATCAAACTCGACGTGTTATTAATTGTCTCTCACGATTTTCTCTTTTTTTTTTTAATCAAAACTATTCATCTACTTTAAAAATTGTTTTCTTTTTTGAATTTAAACTTACAGAATCTTTGGCAGTAAGCTGAACCGTACAGCCCGTTCTGGATATGTACGATCAGTAGATCTTATAATCTAAATCTTTGCTAATGAGAAACAAAAAAATTCTTATAATGAAAATTGATGAAAATTTTAAATTTTGCAAATAAAAATTAAAAAAATTAAATATATTTTTAGTTTTTAAATGTCTGAAATTTCCGGTCTGCGGATTTTTTGTTAGTAATTAATAATCATTTAATTAAAAATAAGATCATAATCCAGAATAGGCATCACTGCAGTCGTATTGTGGACTTTTGGATGCCGTTCAAATAATAATTTCTGTTAAATTTTTTCGCACAAATTGACGTAAAGCGATTAAACAATATATGATGTTTCAAAAAGTGTGTCATCGAGGAAAAAATGGATTTCTAGACTTGACAAAGTATGTGGCAAGAACAAGTATGCCGTCCATGTGTTTTAAACTACATCATAGAGTTAGGTTGTTCTCCAAAAACCTCGTCCAAAATACCTCTGCTGGTGCGGTTTTAGGTCTGCCGGTCTCTAAATGCAACTAAGAGTTCATAGTGTTATGTAGACGAGAAGATAAAAGGGTTATTAAAATCTTTTTTTTTTTTTTGTTTTTTTTTCTTTTTGTGGGTTTTATTTTGTCTAAAGGGAGTTATAGATTGCTCTCTTTTATCTTCGATCATCTAAAGTTGCAATAAAGGCATATAATTAACTAGATCACTCGTGAGAGGTTTTCGCATTTACTGTGGTGCTTCGGACGCCTATTACTCGGGGACTTATATATTTTAACTATTTCCCTATCCCTAAATATCTTCCAGGTCGCAATTACTATTTGAAATGTTACATGGAAAAAAGTAATATTCTAATTATAAGGTGAATTTTCAATTGAAAATACTATTTTTATTTGAAACTGTTGAAAAAATAAATTACTTTTTTTCCACGTAAATTCTTAAAATTTTATAATGTAGAAAATACTTTAAAGGTAGATAAAATTTGTTCAAAATTATGATTGAAACCTTTGAAAATGGAATAGAAATGTAAAATTGCAAAGTTAGGTCTCTATAGTGAAAATGATTTTGAAAATTTGAAGATTAAGAAAGTTATTTCCTTTTGCGTATATGAATCATAATTGTTAGTAAGTGCGATCTGATCGTTCTAAAATTCTTAATATTTATGTTTGAGAGCTATTATTTAATTTGAATGAATATTATAATTTTTTTAATTATTAACAGAAAAGATTTGAATGATTGAAACTCACTTTTTTAAAGGCACTGTTCCTTGGGGTCCCTGCCCTGCACCATTCCGGGCATCAGTGGACCGGCAGGCTACCATATTATACGCTGAAAGCAGTTCTATAATGTTACAAAAATTATGTTAACTCACAAATGTTCATAATTCGGATGCTTGCCTAGCCCCTGCGTTACCATATCGTCGTTCTTGAAACATAAATCCAGCTTGAACTATCACAGATAACAATGATGATTTCTTATACCTTATAATAAAATATTTGACGAAGAAACAATAATGGTATAATGAAGCAATTTTTTTCATAGAATGATTTTTTTTTTTACAAAAGATTTATCATGCAAAAAATTTACCAAAACTATTTTTTCATCATCATATTTTATAAGAAAAGAATATGAAAAAAAAAATTGAACAATTTTTCTCAATGTAGAATGACAATGAATGACCCAATCTTCGAAAGTTGTCAACGAGGTTGAGGAACGACTTTAGGAGCACAGGTGCCGGCCATAAGCGGGCAAATATTGTTGAAAACTTGAAATAATCTCAGGGTTCATACCTTTTTCCTGTTTTCGTCGCTTCCGTTTATTGCATATTTTTACCGCACATATGCTGAGGATGATGGCAACGATGAAGAAGAGAATACCGCCCACAACACCAGCGGTTATTGCTTTATGCTTCACTCGAGCCGGCACTGGGAATTTCACCTCATCACTTGCTCCATAATTCGTCGAAGAATTGGCGAAGACTTGAAAGTGATAAGTTCTACCTCCGACCAAATTCTTCACTGCTCAAGAAAAGTAAAAATAAAATTTCATTTCATTTGAAATAAATTGAAAAATAAATTTTTCAAATTTTTTTCTTAAATTAAAATTCCAATAATTTTACAAGACTAAGAGTTTTCAATTTCGCGTGAAAATTGTCGATATTGTATGAGTGAAATTCTTTTGAAAATTGAGAAAATAGAGAAAGAGAGACACAATCATTTTTCCAATGTTCAATCACCGAACATAACAAAAGATTCAAGTTTTTTTTTTTTTTTTTTTTCTCTCACCTAAATAAAAAGTATCTTCAGCTCGAATTCGCGCTTTGTTGAGATCTTTCCAGGGTCCATCAGTTCTGTATCTGATTGTGTAATATTGCACCAGATGAGTTTTCTCCGCCGGATGCTGCCACGAAATAATGAAGCCATTCTCTTCCTCTCTGACCGTTACATTCCTTGGTGGACCCGGTTTTGGTCCTGTTTAAACCAAAATTCCATATAATCAAGTTAGTATAGGGTGACTGCTTGCACAATATGTAAAATTAATAATTGAATCCCACGCCACAACAACACTCTCAGTTATGAAACAATTTATTGTTTCATAAAGCATTATTCCAAAGCACGTTTCGCAATTACTCAAGAAATTAATTAAATTCTATTCTCATGAAAATGAAATTTCATCCATGTAATTATAATTTCACTTTTGCAGCGCACTAAAATGACCAGTATGTCATTCACTAAAGCATGGTAATTTATCCAAGCATCGTATTATTTTTTTTTTTCTATTAAATAAATATTTTTGAAAGTATTAAATTTAAAAAAAATTATGAGTTCCAAGAGTCTGGGGTCAATTTATTTATCAGGGCAATTAGAAGCTTGAAATGATTTAATTGTATTCTAATTCAGGTGTGATTTTAGAAAAATTGTGCAATGCATCTGACATAAGTACAATATTTTTTTTTTTGATATATTGTCATGGAGAGTGTCATAAAAATATGTGCGTGTCTAAATTATACAGCCTCCAGTTTGTTGAGGCATAAAAATATATTCAATTGGACCACGTCGATGAAAACAGGGCAGAGGTTGGTTTTGATCTGAACGTATATTAGTAACGGGTGCGGCAAGGTACTGAAACTAAACAACCGTCTATAAAAGATTTTACTAGCCTGTTATAACGATCTGTCCATATCCGCGGGGTGAAAAAAATTATTTTTTTAATAACCAATGGTAAACATTCAAGAGCGAATCCCATTGGATTGTTTTTTTTTGCGTTATAGTGAAATTTTCTGTTTTTTTTATGTAAACTATCTGTTACATATATATATATATATATATATATATATATATATATATATATATATATATGCATTTCGAAAAACGTCTATCGCTCTCTTTGAAAAGGATCTACAAACAGTACTTTTTCATCAAAATTTTAAGAGTGCCTTTAGTATGCAAACGTTGCAAAGGATTTGCCAAAAAAAGTAAAGCAGAATAATTTGACGTTTCAAGAGATTCATAGAGCAGGAAACTTTTTCTCTTTGTGTATATTCAAAATATAGAAAAATAAGTGAAATTAAAATTAATTAAAATATAAAATATTAAGTATTTCAATCTTTTCTAGAGATTTTCAAATGTTTGAAAATTTAATTAATAAATTCATTGACTTGTATACTTCATGATTATTAAAGGGTAAATTTTTTTTTTTTTTTTTTATTGTTTGTGCCGTCAGTACGCGGTGAGCGCAAATTAATTAAGCTGTCTGGCGGTTTTGTGAGAATGTATTATATACAGTAGTTCATAATGTATTATATTGGGAAAACCACCAACAGTATTCAAAAAATTTTTTTGGTACACTCCATGGATGCGATTTCGTATTCATTTTAAATTGAATATAGAACAATATTGATTATTAATTAAAAAGTTTAATTACCTTTTATTTCTTTGTTCCGACAATTAATTAAATTTTTATCATTTGAGAGAAACGTAAAAAAATTTTTTGTTAGTAATATAAATGCATAAGTAAAAAAAAATTTTTAATTATTTAAGAATTTTATAAATAAAAATGTTTAAATTTGACTGCGGCTCTGTATTTACAAAAGTGTTGATAGAAAATGGCATAATTCGGATATGCTGACCGACAATGTTTTATATAGTGAAAATCGACAAACTACCTGGGAATCTGACGAGCACGAATGGTATCGAAAATAAAATACGAAAAAACAGACAACAAGTAGGAGTGGCACGAGCGTGCAAAAAAGCGTAATGTACGAGCGCCAACACGAGTTTCGAATAACGAAATTCCGCTCCGTGGGATAAACTGATTTTCGATGGGTCGCGATATAAACGTGGTGCACAGCGTTCAAATTTTGTCGACGCCAGCACTGAAAGCTGGATTGCGGAATTAGCGTCCTGATTGTGTCCAACATTTTGGCTCGTTTAAAATGTATGAAGTTATTTTCTCCTCCCTCACATTTCTCGGTGCTTTCGCGCTCACAAGAGATGCGAATAGCTTAAGTGGATTAAAAGTTTTCTTTTTTTCCTTAGATTCTTTTTTAAATCACCTTTCCCTTCAAGTGTATATATATATCTCGAGCGTCTTTGGCATATAACATTTCATACAGTATAACGCTTAATCCTATTTGCGTAAATGGAAAATTTAAACGCGAATTATTCGGTAAAGCCCGCACACTTTATAAGAAAAGGATAGCGAGGAATGAAACTATAAAATTATAGTAGGTTAAAAAAAGGTTAAATAAAATAAAACGAAAATCAATACCTTTGGGTCTCATGATTCGCGGATATAAGATGTTTCCTGAAGAATCAGTTGGAAATACGAGGGAATTATAATCTATAATGTCTGCAATAGAAAAAAAAATCATAATTCAATAAATTAGGATAAATTGTAATATAAGGGAGAGTGGACAACACTATGGATTATTTCAGATTTTTGGAAATGAAAACGCTAACCAAACTTTTGATATGGGTGTATACGTAAACTCTCCCCTATATTAAATTAATTTAAAACGTAATAATAAATAGGTATAAAATCAATAAAAAAAAGAGAGAAAAAGAGTTACTACTTGAAAAAAAAGAAAAAAAACCAAGGAAAAAAATATTAATGAAAATAAAGATACTCAAAGTCTCCATGAACCTTACCGCAATCCTTTTAGGCGTCTAATCGAATTATTGGAAACGGGCCAACCATCGAAGCGTGATGCATGCTTGGAAAGGTACGAAGAAAAACTAGAACTTATATATTTACAAACGTGTTGAGAAACTAAGAAGAAAAGAAGCAGAAGGGAGTACAGAAAAAAAAAATAAAATGATACGATTGTGTACAAATGTCAAGCAATGAACCGGTGAATTCGGGAAAAGGAAATAAAGGCGGAAGTAGAGCGAATAGCTTGATAGGTTTTCCGATACGATACGTCGCGACGCGCGATGAAAGTTCCGTCTCTAGATGGTCGGGGCGAGGCTTTTCTAACTCTCAAAACTTTTCCGCGAATCCAAACTGTCGGAGATACTTGGAGGGAACTTAGTTTCAAGAAGGGAAAAGCCTTCCGTAACAAAAAGCTAAAATAGAAAGAGCAAGATTCTTCTGCATTTCTTAAAAAAAAATTCAAAAACCAGTTTTAACAATATTAAAAGCAATTGTTTTTATACTTTTTTTCTTTTATTTATTTAAGCATACTTCTATTTCAATATGAAAATCAAGAAATTAATAATGAACTGGAAGATTTTATTTCGGTTTTGGTTTCATCCAAATCATCAATTTTGAAAATGATTTGTTCTTACCGCTTTGTTCTGTAGCTCTTGGAGTAGGATGAGTTGTATGTCCCGGAAAAACAATGTCTGTTTATAGCAGCAGAAGAAAGAGAAAGTAGATTTTAATGAGTAGGTGCAAAAATGTTAGTAGAAAATTTGGTTATTATTTCAAGACGAGAAACATTAGAAATTGTAGATATTCAATTACCTTCTGTTTTAATGGTAAAAATATTACTGTGAACACCTTCGCCTAGGGCATTTTTTCCAAATACTTGAAACTCGTAGGCACTACCAGGCGTTAAATTGCCTATCGTCATTGAAGTGCTTCCTGAAGGTGTCACTGGAATTGTGGTCCATTCAACGGTATTCGCTTCTCTGTACCTAATTTTAGTTGAAAAATATTTAAAAAAAGGCTGAAAATTAATCATCTAAATAAAAAATATTCTAGAAGATTAAGTACCAGACTGTGTAATCTTGCTTATAATCTGGACCTCCTGAGTATCCCGGAGACCACGATAACTTGACCGAAAATTGAGTTGCGGTTCCAGTGATATTAAACGGAGCATGCGGTTGGGTTCCTTCAATTATAAGCTGTGTGGAAGCAGTAATAGTTGCAACTTCGTTCGAAGCCACGCATTGATAATACCCAAAGTCTTGGCGACGAAGACTGTCAATAGTTAGATTACCCCCGACAATCTTTGCTCGATTTCGTTGGATTCCAATACCGTCCTTCTGGTACAAGACATAAAAAGTGGATTATTTCTACTCTACAAATTTTTATTTGGTTACAGATTTGTCAAATAGAAAAAAAAACAGTTAGCAGCGCTCGGACGGAAGCGTCATGTAACTAACGATGGGAAAAAGGGATTATTATTTCTAATTTAAAGAATCTTACTCTCTGCCAGGTAATAGAAGGTTTTTGGGTTCCCTCTCCTTCTTGAGCATCACAGTGCATTTCTACGGTTTCGCCGACTTTTTTCTGATACGTCGCTTCTGGTTCGGCAGTAAATACTGGAGGATTTCTAACCAACACCTCCATTTGTCCTGAACTACCGTGCGTTCCTTGAGCATTGTATGGAGTACAAGTGTATTTTCCCTGATGATTCTCATTGACTCTAGTGAACAATAAGGAACCGTTATTCATCACTACAATATCTTTCGTTTGATAGGGTTCCAATAATCTCTTGTCCTTGGTCCAAGTCACATACTGTACAGGGGGATTTGCTTTAACATAACACTGCACAACGCCTCCCAAACGAAAAGGTAGATATTGGACGGTCGGTGTGAACGTAACTTTAGCAGGATCTGTTTGCAAAATATTGAATATAATTTATAATTGAAAATTTAATCAATGATGATAAATTAACACCTACATTCGACATTTAAATAAGCACTGGCTGTTTGAGGTTCTCCAATTCCGTTAGTAACTTCGCAAAGATATTGTCCAGAATCTTCAGCGCTGACTGGATTTATCACCAAACTCCCATCCATACGAACGGAAGCTCTTGTGTCCAGTGCTGAAACTTCTGTCACTAGTGCACCTTCTCGATACCATCGTACTGTCACGTTACCTGGTAATGCTTTCGCTTCGCAAGAAAACTGAACCTTCTCTCCTTCGAGCTTTGTTTGATTTGTAGGTGGAACCATGATAACAGCACCACCTGAAACGATTCATGTAAACCTAGTTATTTTCAGCTAAAGAGAAATTAAGTCTAGAAGAAGATTATTAGCACCTGAAATTTAATTGGGTAACTATTATTATAAGACTTCCATTAAATCTAATGTTTCTATTTCTTCACATAAATATACATCTTTGAATAACATCGATGAGAAAGCACTTTGAATTTCTTCATTCCCATTCCTTGTGCACGTTGGCAAACCGAGAAATAGTAGGAGCTTAGCAGTGGTCCATTTATCTTTCTTTGTAGGAAACTGATTCGATTCCAATGCAATTCAGCAATGAAACCGATGCAAGGCTCGAAAGCTTCACGTCACAGAGGATCGCATTGAGAGTTGCGCGTAGAGATAACTCGATTAAACTGTCTGAAAGCTTCTTTCCAACAAAATCGATTGTTCAACATGTTTGTGTCGTGAAATCCAAAACTATTTTGACGAAAACGAAATCTTAATCTTTGAATTTAAAATTCTTTTATGATAAAAGTATCAATATTATTATTTAATTTTAAATTAATGAATTCACTAATTTAGTCAGTGATGAAGAAAGACTATAGATTTAGAATTGTGAACGAACTTTCAATACCGGAAATGTAAGTCAGGCTTCGAAGTTAAATAAATCGGGAGACGCGTCCTGCATCAGAGGACTATCGAATGATTCAGTGTTACTGCCGCTCGAACAGAGATGGCAACAACTACGAAGGCAGAGTCTGTCCTTGTTATATGTATCTATCTCCTGCATTCGCCGTAGCGATCCTCTACTATTGCTGTATCAGCTACCAAAACCGGAAATACTGGGAGGGCAGAAGCCAATATCCTGAACGAAACGATGGGTCGCGGCAGTGGCTTTTAACGTTGTTCCATGCAGAAACAGGATGCAGAACGAGGTTACACGTGACTGGACTGGACTCTTTCCCCAGCTTTTTCGTACCTCAATAGGATTCTGGCAACAAGCTCACTTCAACAGGAAGCAAAATCCATCCCATGTTTCGTTTCACTGGTGAGGGAAAAAAAATCCTTGAATCAAAGAATATTACTTCCATTCAAATAAATGGTTATGTTGAAAGTAGATGTTTCTTAGGCTCAAAGGAGTATCTCGTCTCGGGAATGGAATAGTTCAATATGCAAACGGATGAATTCCTCTTGGAAAAATTTTTGATGATGACTCAATAATAATAATTTTAAAGATTTAATTCTTTATTATTACAAAATTAAAGTTTTATTATATAAAATTTTATCATGAATTTCAAGTTTTAAAGAATGATAAAATTGGAAAATAATGCAATCCCTCTTGGGTTGATGGCCTTTTGAAATAAATTTTTAACAACTTTTCGAATGCATAAGTTATAGAGTTCTCGTGGAAGGACACAAATGAGAGGCAAGTAGAGAGAAATTAATTAATTATTTAGCGGGTAAATTAATTAACTTTGGTGAATGTGCTCAAGTTAAATTAATTTTAAATATTTACATTAGCCAGAATTATATCAAATTCTCATTTAGAAACATTATTGTTATCTTACAAAATGTGAGTCAGCATTTTTTTCTGGATGTTTTTTTTTTATTCTTTATTATATTATATAGTCCTGTCGCTGTAACACGATCAAAGCTGTTAGCGATGGCGTGCTGACTTTAAACTTTGAAAGGGGATTACTGCAGCCCTGGTTACAATACGCGAGGATTGGAAAGCCGCTTGAAACCCCTGAGGCGACGTTGAAAGAATTTTAAAACTTGGACCAAGTTTTCAGCATTTATGCGAATCCTTGGCTTTACGATGATGACACCATCAAAGTCTTCAGTTTATAAATATTTTATTACAATGAGTATTTTATACATTATTTGAAATCTTTATCTTCCCCTTTGAGAAAAATTTAATTCGACATAATAGTCATGAATTTTAATTAATATTAAATTTTATGATATAAATAAATTTATTAAATAAAAAATGCGCTAAAAACATGAATTGGCGTCAACATGTGAGAACATTTGCATAAAGAACTTTGACGTCTTTTACGCTTGTACACACTCCCCCTTTGGCTTTTTTCCTTTCTCGCTATATACGGAAGGGCACGTTGCTCGTCAAGTGTGCTCAACTTGAAAGCGGAAAGGTTCAGAGACGCGTAAAGTGCAACTTCCGTTTGGAACGTCGAGGGATCTTAGGGATGTACGAGGCTGGCAAAATCTTGAGAAACGAGGGTAATGATATTCAAAGTCGCTGCACAACGTCAAGCTACATATAACACTGACGATAAATATGTCCATTGCATCAAATTTTGCACAACTTGTATACATAATAAAATAATAATTTTTTTTTTCAACTATCATTCCTGTATCTGAAATTTTCCTTTTCCATCTAATTTATTTAAAAACTTTTTGCACTTTTTAGGAAACTAATCACTTTGTATGAATAAGTAAGTCCACTTTCGCTGTGGCATTAGATATAGACACGGAAATTTATTTATAAACCTGGCGCAAATTGAGTATAAATAAATAATAAACCATGTTGACAAAAGTAATTATATTACTTTTTTAAAAGTTATAAACAGCCATAAAAATTGTAAAAGGAATGAAAAAAACAGATGGAAGAATACCGTGTGTAAAATTACAAAATCAAAATGATAGAATACAAGCAGAGAAATAATGATAAAATATGATAGATGATGGGGACAGAGGGAGTGGGTGAAAAACGATCATGCGAGCGAAACGAACTGGGTCTCGGTCGTGATAAATATTCAAAGGCAAAATTTAAAAGTTTCCTGGGAAAAGGAAGAATATCCTCGGTCGTTTTCCAACGCTCTAAAGAATTCTTTGCATTAATGGCACAGTCAAGAAAGAAAGTAAATTCAAATAATATATATATATATAGGAAAAGAAGGCCCGACTTTTCCGATCACGGTGAAAAACTTTTTGAAATGTTTGCTTCACGAATTTTTTCAGTTTCCCTGCCAGTATTACTAGCAAGTGGTCGTATTTTTTAGTCAGAGCCATCAAGAAAGAGACTTTTTACGAGATTAAAAACTCCAAAGTGTGCATCACAAAACTTTTTTCTTATCTGGATCAGATTTTATTTGTTCGTACAATGAATATAATCTACTTGGTAATCAACGGTAAGCTTCTAAATTCCCCTTCGAGTGAGAGACGAAAAAAGTCAAAGGCGCAAGAGAGATTGAGATTTTCGCCTCAAGGGAATAGAGAAAAAGTTGCTTGAAATTCACTAAAATTTGATGGAAAAGTTGAAATGTCTTTAAAAAAATAATTTCTCATATCTCTTAAACGACTTTCTTGGACGCCTATATATAGAATAATTCTCTATTTAACTTGAATGGATACCGTCTAATTTTTCAAGCTTTACCTATTTTATTATTTTCATTTAAGAAGATTAAAAAAGAGGTGACAAATGAGGATCTGGATTAGTTCGAAAAGTCACCAAGATGAGGGAGGGGGAACGAAGCTTTGGGAACGATAAAGTAGAAGAAGACGAATCACCTTTTAATCCCGCGACCCTTTTCGTGAGTCTTAATTGGCTGTTCCCCACAAGAACTGTCATCAGAATGGAAACAGTAACCACTTTCCCTAACGTGAATTTTATCGCAATACTAAGCGAAATGCATTGTACCATAAATTTTCCATCTGAATCAGAAAAGATGCTTAAGGTGTCAATAAAATTTATCGATTTAAAGGGGTCCAAAATTTATTGGGTTTCTCGTACCTTTAATTATTAACTCGCAGAAACAAGTTTCTAGTGAATTTTTCTTTTGTTTTCATATAATAATATTTTAAAACATTTTTCATCACCTTCATAATATTTTTACTGTCGAATAATCCATGGTGATATTTTCCCCGACGATAACTTTATTTGATATTAAAATACTTTTTACAGAGTCTGTAAAAAAAGTTATGTTTTAACAATCGCCATTGTTAAAATTTAGAATAGAGGAACTTGACAAAATTTTATGTTTAAAAATTATATTAATTTTGATACTAACCTGCAATGATAACTCGTGCAGTGTGGCTAATTTGTCCCTCACCATTTCGTGCAATGCACGTGTAATCACCGATATCTTCATTCCTGATGGTAGAAATCCGCAATTCTGTACCATCGTTAAAGATCCCGATGGTCGTTGATATTTCAACAGGATTGGCGTCTTTATACCATAGGATTTCCGGTGTCGGCGTTCCTTCCGCTTGGCAGTTGAGAATTATTGCATCGCCCAGATTTACATAGATTATCTCCTCCGGTGTAATACTAAATCTAGGTGGCGCTGGAATAGAATTAGATTTGTGATTCATTTCATTACTAAAATTCCACTTGTAGATTTTCATTGATTTTTTTTGTCCTCAAAAAATATAGATTTGATATGAATTTGACGAAATATTAAAATATGCGCTAAAAAGTGCTCATCAAATCTACTTGAAATCTCTGTGACTATTAAACGAGCAAGAGTTTAAAAAGAACAAAAGAGTTTTAAATGCTTTCTGTTGCAAGTGTAACTTCCCTTGATGCTGTCTCGACGAGCAAGAGAAAATGTTGGGACAAGTTAGACTGGCGCAGGGGTAAAGAGCATGAACAAGACGACAACCGGAAGAAGGAAAGAGGAACATTGGTATCCAAATGTTTCTCAGCTCAAAACTTGCGCGCCCTTGTATAAGCGAGAGAAAAAGCAATAATAAGTTCCTCTTTCTCAGTCGTCAGGTTCTCTCTCTATTTGCCTTAATGCCAACATCCTTCTTCTCATTGTCAAACATTTCTACCGGAAGAAAATTCTTGAATCTCCGCCAACAGTATATATATATATATATATATATTATTATTACATTTACAACAACACTTTCCGCGCGAAAAGTTTAGAATAAAGGAGCGCATATCGATTGATATTTTTATGGAATATAACATTTGGTTTTATTTATCTTTGAAAATGGATAGTGAAAAAGAAGTCAAGTCTTGTTTTATGATTTCTCTTCATTAAAATAAATATTTATAAAAATTAAAAGGTAAGTAAAAAAATAGTTTTGTTTTATATCGAGTCTACCGATAATACAGCTGGAGAAGAGATTACTTTTTGATCAGATATTTTTGTACTTACTGATCTTGTACAGAAAAAAAAATTGTTGGAGAAAAAAATGTTGACTTACCGTGGACATCGAGATGAAACCACGTTCCGTTTTTGTGTGTATTGGGAGGCCTATTGAGGAAGACGACCTTACACTCGTACCAGCCCTGATCGGTCTCTCGAATGTTGGTCAGGTTGAGACTAGCATCGCCATAGGGTGATTTAGGACTCACCCTTGAGACCCGATCTTCATAACCTTCTCCACTATGAGTTGGATACGACTCGTACCATATGTAAATTGGTATCTCCTGCCCCTTACATAACATCAATTCATAACATAAACGAGTGATCTTCATCATTATTAAAAGCAAATGTTAATGTACAATTCCAATTTTTGTATAATAATTTTACCACTTTTTTTTTAACTTTATAATTCCAGTAAATATAATTTTCATATCACAATTAAATAGTCGCAAAAAAGAAGAATTTTTTATACATCAACATCTGCTTTGACATATATGAAAATGAAACACGACATACATACAAGTGCAACGAGTATAGATGCAATGAAAGAATGAAAAATGTGTGAGTTTCTTTTTGAAAATTCTAATAATAAATTGGATTCCTCAAAGAGACGAATATTTGAGAATTAAATTGTCATGCAGTGAAAGTTGAACATATAAAAAACTTATTGTCATGTCACTAAAAATTGTGTTTCATATTCGCGAGAAACAAAAAAGTCCAAATATTCAACAAAAAGCATGACCTTATAAATATGTATATCAAAAATTTCACAAAGTTAAATAACATTGAAAACAGTAAGACAGAAGAAAGTGACTACTTTACAGAAAAGCATAATTTGAAAATATAATACAATGCAAAATTTCAATGCAGTTTTAGTAGATATTTATTAATAAGATTTGGAATGTTGAAAATGGCGATTAGTATCAGTGAGAATTCGACTCTATTTCTAACTGTCCTACTTATAGAAAGCCACAAATTGGATCGCGACTCACATATCCTGTGAATTTAATAATGTTTGCCCGATATCTTGTCGTTTGTTATTACTTGAATGCATTATTATAGGCACTTGCCATATTATATAATATCGACGACTTGATTTATATGTATATATATATATAAATATATAGGGAACAAGAGGGAAACGACTTTAGAGTAACTCGAGTGTGAAGCTACACATTAAATCATACTAGCTGCCGATAGTCAGGCACGCAACACTCTGGATATCATACATTACGCTTCGATTAACCCCTAAATGCTAGCCCAATTTATAGATTTACATTAATCACAGTGTAGAAATGCATCAATGCAAATTGTCTTACACTAAATATATAGGGATAATACGGATGTTCGTCCCGGCCTCGATTAGTAAGCTATATTTGATCTATATTAATGTTTTCACCTCTATTTTCATTGGTTTAAGCCACGTCCCAGTGGAATTTTTCTGTCTATTTTAGCCTATTTGAATCACTCTAGGGAAATGTCTATCTGAAATTAATAAAATCCATTAATGGATTATCTGAATCAGAATTTTTTAGATTCTAAAATCATTTTCATGAAACGTTTTTACAATTGACAGAAAATGTTTGCTACCATATCTGTAGATTTTTAATTAAAATTGAGTGATAGGTAAGTCTAAAAATAAAAAGATTAGTGAATCATCGCTTGTCAAATACGAATTTTCCTCCGGTTGTCTTAGTTGAAAAAAATTAGTAATAAAAACTAGACACATTCATCAATTACATCTTTTTGTCTTCCAACAGTAAATCTCTTAATGCTTTATTTTTCGCAAATTTGCTTCTCGCCCCAAAAATCCCTGACAGCTATCCCTCGTACATTCGTTTTCTTCCACTTTTCTGACCAAGTCTCTCTCTCTCTCTGCTCAATTAAATTCACCCTCAATTACCTACAGACATTTCTCCGTATTTCAAGATGCTTTTTTTTCCTTTTCCATTTGTCTTTCAACCTGCATTTTTTTCATCAAGTTGTAAAAGATTTCTCTCAAATAAAGATATATAATCTTTTTTTTTTTTGTCAGTAAGAGAAAGAATTTTCTAACTTTTTTGCAAAAAGAAAAAATACATTTTTAATAAATAAAAGCGTATTTCTTTCTCGTAAAACGAATAGGAATATTTTTATCGTGATCAGCATTGTAGTAACAAATCAATTTCACTGTTTCTCATTTTTGCAATTTCCTGTGATTTTTTTTTTTTTTTTTTTTTTTTGGTGCCACTTGACGAGTCCATTTCACTCATCCTTCTTTCCGGTTGGTTACGTAACATTCACGTGCAGACATTTATATCCGTACCATGAACGTTATATATGAATCACGCATGTAGGTCAGTTTGCACTTTCGGCGACTGTAGCATTGATGTTCGTAAAATAACTCGAGGGGTTTTTGAAGAGGGAGAAAGAGATTTAAATAAAACAAAAATAGCTTCCTATGTCATTAGATTAACTGCCACTGGAAAAATTCTTTTAATTTAAGAAATATAATTCATTTTTTTTCTCAATTTCTTTATGAAAAAAAAGTTCATTAAAGTGAAAGAAACTTTAATTGGTTTTGCAAACCAATGATGTTTTTTTTAAGTCGAAAAAGAAATTTCCAAGATTAAATATTAAAAAATTTTTTTATATATAAAATTGATTTTAATATCCAAATTGTCAGAACGTTGAACTGCACACGGAGAATCGTTTTTTTTTTTTTTTTGTTGCAAGATGAATGACCATTTTTCAAAGCATTTAACTCGCACATGTAGGTCAGGCTGGTTTTCATAAATTCGAGCTCAAGAGGAAAGGTTAATAATTTATACATGAAATAACACGCGGAAGAATAAAATTATTATGCGGCAATTATATAACGTGAACAAAAGTATTATTTTTCTTTTGCAATTAAATGCAATGTCATTTATGCATTTTTTATGGCAATTTTAATTAAAAGGTGAAAAATAGATAATTCTATAAGTAAAAATTTTATGGTATAAATTAAATTAAAATTATTTAAGTAGATTGTATGTTTATTGAATATCAAAAAAAGGACTTTGCAGAACTGTCAAGAAGTTCATTGTTATTTTAAGTACTTGTAATGAATACACGTCTTCATTATAAACTCGACGCTTCGTTAGTTTAAATACCTTGTTACGTAGAGAGTGACATTATATGTTGAACAAAAAAAAAAAACTTGCACCTAATTAACGGAGATAACAAGACGATGAGATTCAGAGAAGCTCTGCGGATTGAGGGTTGGTAACCCTGACACACTTGATTCGTTGCGGCCTAGCCTCTGATCTCTCTACATTATGTATACGACCTGCTAACCGTATGGACTAGCGTCACGTGTCTCGGATTCATATCTAGGAACCAGATGTATGAGTTGTAGAACCTATGAATAGTGGAAGGCCAAGGACGCATAGTTTGCATCAAAATTCCAATCTTTTTCGCATATCCAGTTTAAAAACTCATTTAACTTGTAACGGTATTTTCAAATAATTCTTCTTTTCTTCATCAATAAGTTAAATTATCTATATCAGTTCTCTTAATTCCGTCTGACTAAAAATGTCTTCTTTCACTGATTTTGCGAGACAGAATTAATTAATAAATATAAAAAGTATAGAAAGCTGTATATTTATTCTCAGTAACTGTTCTGATTCTTCCAATTCAATTTATTAATATTTTATTGACGTTGAACATACAAAATTAATTTACCGTCTGGTCTGATTTTGAAAATAGCTATGTTTTTACATAATTAACTTTTTTTGTTGTTTATGTTTGACCATAAAAAAAGTTTTTGATAAAAAGTATAGATTATTATAAAAATATATAATTTGATTATATATGTAAATTTTTAATTCATCAGGGAATAAAAATCCATTAAACATAGAATGAAAATATCTCTCTTGACACTTTCTTCCTTTTTTTTCGACTTGAACTTTTGTGCGCTAGTTACAAAGTCAGGTCGGATGATATTTGCAACTTATACAGCAAACAGAGTTGTCTTCTTCGTCCTATTTTTAAGCCAGCTCCAGGTTAACTGAGTAACGTTAAATCGATACCCCTGCGCAGCGTTTCTCAAACTCCATTTTTCCTCCGATAGAAAGAGAAAAAGAGAGAGAGAGAATAACCGAGTTGACGCATTTTCATATTTTTATTCTTTAATCTCTTATCGTTCACATATATGCAAAAAAATTCTTCTCTTTATTTCTTTATTATTATGGTGAGAATTTCAAATTTTTCAAAAATCCATTGCGTTTTATAAAACTCTTCAATTCTTGAATATGAAACTTTGCTCAGTATTCTAAATAAGTTTTCCTTCGTTAAAACTTTATACTTTTCACCAAGAGTATCACAACTCTATTTGACTCTCAAGTTCCTCGTCGTGATGGTACAAAGTTACGCAATATTTTTGAACGCAGTAAAGCTCCACTGCTCATAAAATGATTAAACACAATTTGAAGCTTTCCGATAGTGAACAAGAACGTGAAACTTGGTCAGTACTTGAAACTTAGTATCTAATAGTATTAATTAATTTATCAAACGTTAACTTAAGATAGGATATACTGTAAATTTATTTTAGTAAAGTTAAATAAGTAAACTGTTCGTTATAGAGATTCTAATTCTTATTGTGAAAATTTTGATTTACTTTCAGATTTTATTTTTTATTTATATAGTGATGAAAATTTACTGAAGATAGATTTCAAATAAATTATCAACTTTTTCCATTGTGCTATTTCTGTCTTTTTTTTTGCTTCGCTTTAATTTGGAATATTTTGCCTCCTGATTCTATATTCACGATTTCGTTTTTACTTAAACTTTTAGCAAACTGTCTAGCCAAAAGATTTACATTATCCGATAAAATTCTTGGAAGAGAAATAATTACCTAACATTCTTTTCGGAATTAGCGATATAAGACTTTTTATTTATTTCTTTTATACGAGCATGCCTCTTTTCTCTAAGTTTAACGCAATAAACTAAAGTTAAATTTACGTTAATTTATGTAGCATTATGGCAAAATTAAATTCGTCTCTTTTTAATAATTGTTAATTCGTTTGGAAATCTAAAAAAGACATCCTTAATTCCATTCAGAAGTAATATTTATTATTTGATTAACAAACAAGAATAAATCTCTTAACAGCGTTGAATTAAAAAAATGACAACTGACAACTCAGCCAATATCGATTGAGTGACAAGTATAAATGATAGAAAATTAAATTAAATCCTGCACTCTTTAATTTGCTTTAAAAATATTTACGTTGTCACTTAGAAAAGGTGGATTTAAAAAAAGGATAACTTTACA